GGCTGAAATGTTAAATTCAGAGATTAATTTTGGCACCCATCAAAAATGCTTTAACATGGCAAGTTTTGATTTAAAAACAAAATTACTTTTACTCAGCAAGAATTCAAAAGTGGTATTATTAATGTTACAAAAGATTTCAGTGAAATTCTTTTGATTATTATTTTTTTTATTCACCAAAGAATCCTGAAAAAAGTATCCAAAAATATCCAGGTTTACCATCACAGAAATAAATCCTTTTTTAAAATATATTAAAATGTTTATTTTCAATTGTATTAGTATTTTACAATATTACTATTTTTATTGTATTTTTATCCAAATAAATGCAGCCTTGGTAAGCTTTTTCAGATGTTAGCAGTAGCATTAATGCCATTGAGCTGAAATCGGTCCAAAATCAAAATGTATGGCCACACTCGCATATGTTGTAACCACAATAATACACTAGCATGCAACAAAATAAACTTCCCCTCAACTTATCACAAATGGATGGATTTTGTCTTTGCATAAGTTTTAATTGCAAAACTGAGCAAATCTGTTACTGTACTCAACAGTAAAGCAATAATTTTGTTCACTCACGTTCACTTTTTTTCCCTCTTTAGATTGTGGACTATGCCTACCAGCAGGGCATTGCCTCTTCATACCCTGAACCCAAAGATAAAGAGGCCTTTGTTTTATCCCATGTCTATAACTCTGACTATGACTCCTTCACTCTGGATTCATACAGCTGGCCCAAGGATGCCATGAAGGTTCAGAACGTATAGATTATTTGACCATCGACCTCTCTAAAGGGAATCAGTCACATGCTATATTTCTCGGTTCATAATCATGACGATATACACTCCAGCTCCAGGCCACCCAATCCTAAAACTCTTGCTGTTCCCACTGCTTTGCCACGAGATGAGCTGTATCCACTGTGGGCTAAAAGAGATAAAAGAATACAGTGTTCATTCAAGCTCAAAATGTCTTTAGATGAGTGGCTCAGTTCAGAAGGAAAAAATGCAGCTCTGTTTAAAGAAGTTGCAAGTTTTTTCCCACTTAATCAGGCTTGTTTCGCAGTGGTCCTCCTCTCCAGTATATTCGTTTTTCATTATTGTTCTGTCTGCAGTTATCCACTCCAGCTATTTAGTACTCCTGCAAATGCAAATGTCAGTGTAGGGAGTTTTTTTTGAGACATTGGGAAATGACAGACTGCCTGGGTTGAAAGTTTGTATAAGAAGGAATTCTTATCAGGTGCGTGAAGTAGTTATCAAATGAGCTGCCGTGTGAAATTAGTTATTTTGCAATGTATTTTTTTTTTTTTTTTACAAGTTTCTCCAGTTGTCTACACCAAAGTTTGTCTCATTTTAAACATATAATGGTCATGTAACATAATTGTCATGCAATGAATATTGGAAATTGTTATATTGAGCATATCTTTTTATTTAAGTGTCCACCTGAGAAGTGAGCTATTTGTCTCTGTTCATTGCTGCATGTGGAATCGTTTTTAACGTTTTTCCTCATTTTGCTTATTATTATATAATGCTCGACTATGGAATTCTATTTTCAATAATTCGGGATTTTAAAGGAATTGTGACTTTTAAATAAACGCTTAAAAATCCATATGGGTTTAGTTTGAGATTGGCGTCTTGGTCCAAGTCTTTGGACTTATGTCCAGCTCCACCCCTCTGGACGTCTAATGGGTTGAGGGATAGAGTTTTGGTGTGGCTGCTCACTTTAGAGCAAATTGGTTGAGCTTACAGAGAGGAAAAGCTGGACATCATTTGACTGCAGTGAGCACCACTTGGTGGTTTGATATTCTAGCTCCACCCATTAGGCCCAAATTACATTCAGAGAAGGGGAGCAGGACTTCACACTCCACCCATGACTCTGCAGTGAGCAGCCTCTCAATAGTTTAGACTTCTTATCCACATGTACAACTCTCACTGCTCAAACAGCCAGTTACATTATTTTTTCCTCTGTTTCTCAAACTTCCTCTATGCTAAGTTTCGGTTTGGGTTAACCCTAATGTTTCCTTGATGGATTGGCATCCATTAAAACAATTTTGATTAAGAACACAGCCCACAATGGGAGATTAGCATCTACATGAGTACATACTTTTTACTTATTAGTAAAATAATTATTAATCTGCAGTGCCAAAGATTATTCAACAGGTGTTTAGACAACTCAATGGATGCTTCAAGAATTTATTTTGTTAAGTCATGAGCAACACTGGATGATGAGCTTGCCGATTGCAGCTTTAAAGCTACACAGTGTAACTCTTTTAGTTTATTCTTAGCTAAACACACTTAGTTCTTTCAAAAATATATGTGCTCATTAATGTATATTTACTTCGTTCAAGTAATAAATTATTCTCGTGAGTGTATAATATATAAGTATGAAAATACATGCGGGTAAGGGGTTCTAATGTCAGTCGCCATGTTGCCCCTCCATCTTGAAAGTACATTAGCCAAAGAGGGACATACCCGTTAATTCAAGCTTCGCCTTTCGCGTTTACGTTTGAGTTAACACTCATGGACGAGGTCGAACTGGAAGCCATGTTAATCTTGGACTACATTAATGGCCACCGTAGGAGTTAAAACGAAATCGGAATTGAGAGGAACAGAAACTAATACCCCGTAATATACCTTTTCACCGCTAGATTGGGGTAAAAATCACACAGTGTAGCTTTAAGAGCTTTAATACGTATTCAAAATAATTTTGTAAAATAATCTCTGATCTGATGACTTGTTCACCAGTGAGTCCTACATTTTTTTCCTCATTAGTGCGCTATTTTACTTATCACAATAGGGAAGAAAAGATTATAAGAACTTCTTTTTCATGCCGACATGTCATGTTACAGTAGGTCACACTTTAATAGTAGTCATTTTTTTCAGCTGTAAATAACATAAAAATGGAATGGGACAAATAAACACAAAAAGGGAAGTGTTAAATAAGGCACATTAACTGACTGTAAACAACTCTTCCAAAAAAAAATAATTCGGAATAATCATACTTGGATACATAAAACACAACAGACAGAAAACATGTCATAACTATCTACATTTTTGGATCATTCAGAAGTAAATGCAGATTAGGAGAAATATATTAATGTTTCTCAAAGGCATGACGGGCAAAATAAATATTAAAGCCAATGATTAAACTGAACAAAATGGTTAAAATGTACACTTAAATAGGGGTCAAAGTATAATTTTATTATACAGTAGTAGTCAACATTTGAATCAATGGATATTGGTCAAAATTCATGTGTAACTTTGATAGGTTTTGATCCACTTCAAATGTTGACTACTCTATCTCTGGATGACATTGGAAACCCATTGCCAGGCCGGCATGCTCTTCATACTTTGGAATTTGACACGGTCACGTGACGTATGGCATTTACGTCAGCTGGACAGACCGATTATGACCAGCTAATGCATCACAGTTTACCAAGGCACAACAACAAATGTTCTTGCACTCATAGTTTATAATACTCTTATATACCTTCTGTAATTATGTCAACTTATTTCCCTAAAATGTTATTTACAAACTGATTTATAAATACATATTCTGAATTACATTTTTATCCAACGGATTCTGCATAACCTCCGAATATTGCCATTAATAACCAAGAGGCAAAACACATGTTTTGGTTTTGTTTTTTTAGAAAATCAGACATGGGCTGCTGTAAAATGTTGTCATCACATAAAAATGAAGTCTATGATGTCTGAGGATCACAACCCGGTCAACAAGCTGCTGGTTATTTAGGGTTAAAATAATGCTACCTCAAATTCTGCTTTAACTCCCCGGAATCACCCAAACGTGCTAAAAAGGTTTCATTATATTAATGAATCCTTAGCCATATCTCCCTGATACCTTATGCTAGAAACAAACTAAGCACACCTTTCAAAAGAGTGGAAGATAAGCCACTTTAAAGGTTCTCTGAGCGATCCTGGGTGTTTTTGACGTTCGGAATATTTTCAAACAAATCGGAGGCTAGCTAGACCCTCCCTCCGCCGCATCTCATCTCCTCCCCCTCCCTTCCGTGCTTCCTGAAATAATTGTGAACGTGCATAGTTCTAGCTAATTATATCCTTGTGTGGGTTTGGCGAACATAAAGCGTCAATTTAGAAGAAAAAAAACTATTTAACGTTACCCACCTGTCCAGCAAAACCAGAGCAACCTGACGTCGGACTGGAAGCCCTTCTGCCGCCGGAGTTCTCGCCATCGTTCAAAAGCTTTGCTACCGATGTAAATTCGGAACTTCGCACGTTCTTTATCCGACTCCTTCTTCTTTTTAATTTGTTCTTCAGAACGACGTCTATTTGGTCGTGTGTCGGCCATTTTTCAAACTTCCCTCTGATGCTTCTATCTCCTTCACACACACACCCCCTTCATGTGCACGCGCACTAACCCTCCAGACCCACCCTCAAATACTTCTTGCCAGTGATTGGCTGGAACACTGTTTGTTAGGTTTCGTGGTCCGGGTGAGACATGATTGTTTTTGTTGCCGTTTGTGGAGCCTGTGGTGTCTACAGAGACCACGTTTTTTTTTTTTTTTTACAGTGTGTTTAGGGGACAGTCAGCTAGCCGATAGTGAGGAGACGTTTGATGTATGTGACAAAAAATGTTTTGGCCCCACATCGCTTAGAGAACCTTTAAGGGTAGTGGATTTAAACAAAAGCACAAGGGTTAACTCTTACATTCTAATTACATGTACAATCAAGGCATCAGATGAACGCTTACTCTCCACTCTTTTGAAAGGTGTGCTCAGTTTGTTTCTAGCATAAGGTATCAGGGAGATATGGCTTAGGATTCATTAATATAATGAAACCTTAGCATGTTAAAGTGATTCCGGGGAGTTGTTTTGACCCTAATTACATGTTTCCAGCGGCTTGTTGACCAGGTTGTACACCCGGACATCATAGATTTCATTTTTATGTGATGACAACCTTTTACAGCAGCCATTGTCTGCTAAACCCACTTTGCCTGGCTATAAAGTATAAAGGGCTACATTAACGGTTTGCTTTTATATTTCTGAACAATAAAATCTTTATGAACATTTGCAAGCCCGAACAGATGAATAAATAGCAAACGGGCTCTCACCAGTTCCTCAAGATTGCCCACAAATGTTATCCACGAGGCAACGCTCCGCCATACAGTGCAACTGCACCTCGGGTGACCCAAGTTCAATTCCCAGCGCTGATCCGGTTCCCCTCTCTAAAGGAGACTAGAAATTCCACTTAAAATATATATTCCTCAAATACTGCTAGAGCGGTTTAGCCTTGCATTAGCCATGCCTTCTCTTTCTCCTTACTGGGCAGATGTGGGAAAGGACAAAGTTCAGCATGTTTGATATAATGTCAGGAGGAGGGTGTAGCTGATGAGGGTGGTGGTGGGCCAGTGTCATCTCCCAGGCATCCACCAGCTGGACATTCAGACCTTTAAACATGGCTCGCAGCACTGCGTCAAGCTGTTGAGAGTACCAGTCGCTGTTGAACATGCTGGACTCAGGGTCCAGCTTCTGGAGATTGGCTGTGCGAATCAGAACCAAAGTCGATGGTTCTCGGCTCAGCAGCCGGATCACCGCCCTGCGGATGTGGCGCAGGCGCCGTATGTAAACCTGCACTGGGAAAGTGCTGAAATGTGACCAGATGCTAATCACGACCACCGTGTCCGAGCCCCCTCGTAAGCCGTCCAGCTCATTTGAGATATAGCGCATCTCAGCCGAGAACACGGATGTGAAGCGGATCGGCGGCCCGTGGCAGCGGTATCTCAACAGTGTGTTGTGGTTGCTGTCGACTGCCATGTACGGGCCAACATTCTTCGGGCTATGAAAGTTGAACTCTTTAAGCTCTATAATGTTGAGGAAAAAAAGGGGGTGAGATGTAGATATGAATCTGGAAAAGACAAAAGATTGCTGTCCATCCAAACAGAAGAATTTTAGGATGAGGATACATGGAAAAACTCACCACAGACAACAAACCACTCTCTACTTCAGTTGTCTCAGGAAACATTTACACTGTTGTTTTTAATGGAACCTATTCAATATGACTATTTTTTTAAATGTACAGTATAGGCAACCCAAACTCACAGCGCTTGCAAAGATGACGCTTGTGTGGAGTAGAATGTATAGCTCTGAGACATTCAAAACACTGGATTATGAGCCGCTTACACGTAAAGGCACACAGTACTTTAAGCACTAAATCTATGAGCTCTTGTTTTTTTGCTCAAAACACCTGGATCAATCCTCACAGACCCCGCCCCCACTTTGAAAAATGAGATCTGATGAATGAAATGAAATCAGATCCACACAAATGACCTATTTTGTATCCAAAACGTAAATTTTCTGCATAAAGGTGTGTAAAAATTTGCATCACTGACAGCCAATAATATTTGTGTGCTCTGGTTTGTTGACATTGGGTTGGCTCAAGAACATTTGAAGATGTGATCAAAACCACAAAAATCAATTTTAAAAAGACTTCCAAAAATATTACAGACCTGGAACATGGGCAATGAGATACTCGTACCACTGTCGCACAGTGGAGTCTCCATACATGTACACCATTTTCCCTCTAAGACACTGGGTAATGGCAGAGGAGCTATTGAACTGACGCATGACGACACCAGTCAACGGCTTCCACGATCCCTGGTAGTAGTAACCGGAAGGAGTGAATTTACGGTGCTTCCCTTTGGTTCGTACTGGAAGGAAACGGAAATATTAAGGTTTAATAAAGAAAAGAAAGAAGTGACAATGAGGAAATGTTGATTTATTCCTAACTGAGTAGAAGACATTTTCGAATAAAAAATGAAGATGAGAACTTGGTTAATTATGCTGTCAAGTCCTTGGATGTAACTTAACTCCCTATTTTGTGGTAGGGTATACTGTATTGGTGCTTTTCCACTGCATGGTACGGTATGGCTTTAAATGGTACGTGGGGTCTCATTTATAAAGTGTGCGTACGCACAAAATGGGGCTGGAAACGTGCTTACGCCAGTTTCCACACAAAGGTTGTGATCTATAAAAAACAAACTTGACGGGAGAATGTGCGCACCTTTAAGCAAACTTTGAGCCGTGTGTACGCACATTCTGGAGACAAAGGGAATTGGCGACACCAATGGTGAGCTGGAGTTAAATGTCTTTTTGGTCACTTTTAGACCGAAAATCTAAAGAAAAGTATAGCCAATAGGCTACAGAAAGATAATAGAGTACAAATATAATTTCACTCACCAAGCCTATCACTTTAAGCCAATATCCATCCTTTCTTAAGTGTCCGCGCCAGCAAGCGCGTTGAGCCGTTTAGTGAAACTGACGCCACAGATAGCCTATAATCTAACAGCAGATGAAGTAAAACCGAAAATCTTCATGAGTCCTCATAAATACAGTGCATGTTCTCAATAACAGTTTATACGAACAGTTTATAAATCTGAATATTTTTTTGACGTACGCCATTTTTGGCTTTCGGGCGCACGTACACTTTTAGTAAGGATCCTGCGCACAGTTTTATAAATGAGACCCCTGGGGCCTCATGTATAAAACTTTGCGTAGATTTCATCCTTAAAGTGTGCGTACGCACATAAGGCAGAATTTGCGTACGCACAAAAGTTTTCAGATTTATAAAACCGTTCGTACGCCAGAACCTCCGCAGAATTCACTTTATAAATCCCAGTCAACGGGAGATTGTGCGCACGTGCGTCTCCTCCCCGAAATAACCAAATATGGAGATTACAACGCCTAGTTTAAATATGCATATCCTCATCTGCATATCATTTGCTTATGATTATTCATCCACGTGATACCAAGTTTAACGGAAATGCGGATGTGCCGTCACATTATTACAAACATTTTTTTTAGTAGCCTATATCCTTGCCTTGTTTTTGAATGAATAAATCAAATAGTGTTAAATACATTTCAGATAAAGTTTCTCAATCTTTTCCACTGGCCAAATAGTATTTTTAATTGATTTATATTTTAATGGAAAGAGATAGACATGGTTGTGCATTATTTGCACGAAACAGTTTTCTCAGACAATCTCTAGTTAAAACATTAAAACACAGCATGCCAGAAGAAAAGTGTTCAAAAGCAATGCATCCACAACAAATAGGTCTATTTCTATTTATTGAATATATATATATATATATATATATATATATATATTCAATAAATAGAAATAGACCTATTTGTTATAGAAATAGGTCTATTTCTATTTATTGAATATATATATATATATATATATATATATATATATATATTCAATAAATAGAAATAGACCTATTTGTTGTGGATGCATTGCTTTTGAACACTTTTCTTCTGGCATGATTTGGACTCATAATGATGATTTACGGTTTTACTCCATCTGCTGTTAGATTATAGGCTATATGTGCGTCAGTTTCACTAAACGGCCCAACGCGCGTGCTGGCACGGTCATTTAAGAAGGGGTGGATGTTTGCTTCAAGTGATGATAGGTTTGTGAAATTATATTTGTATTATCTTTCTGTAGATGTATAATTTTCTTTAGATTCTCTGTCTAATAGTGAGCAAAAAGACATTTGACTCCAGCTCACCATCGTTGTCGCCAAAACCCATATTCTTCTAAAAGAGTGCGTACGCACAGTCAAGAGCATCCTTACGGTGCGCACTTATTTACGCCAAGTTTATTTTTTATAAATCCCGATGTGCGCGTGGAAAAATGCGTACGCATATTTCTATGCCCATTTTGTGCGTACGCAACGTTTATACATGAGGCCCCTGGTCTGTTGTGGTTCTGATACTAAAATGTGACGTGAGAACACTGCAGATCACTGATTGGTCAGACAGATAGAATCGTCACTATCGGCGTCATTGTATTTGCAACACAAGACACTAAAACCCGCTAGATTTCAATAGCAAGTAGACAACAGCCAACGATGTAGCACCTTGTAGCACTTTGTTTTTAAAGTACTTGCTTGAAAAAAAAAAGAATATGAAAATTTGAAAAAAAGAAATGGCTTAATCGTGGTCAGTGGACGAGGTTTAGACGTTCCTCTCGTTGGTTGCGCAACTATAACCATCAGTCCCACCCACTTTGAAGCAGTACTAACTACAGTGGAAAAGCACTGTTAGGCTATTCCACATGGCTGTGTTCTGTGATTAACTTGTAAAATGAGCCTATTTCCAAAAAAAGTGGAGTATCCCTTTAAATCGAGTTGAACCTGTGATTAACCTACCAAGTTAATCACAGGTTCAACTCGATTTAAAGGGATACTCCACTTTTTTTTGGGGGGGGAAATAGGCTCCTTTTACAACTCCCCCAGAGTTAAACTGTTGAGTTTTTTGAATCCATTCAGCCGATCTCCGGTTCTGGCAGTATCACTTTTAGCATAGCTTAGCATACATCATTGAAGTGCACAAGACCATTTGCTTTTCTCAAAAAAAAAAAGACCAAAGTGTTTTGAATTTTTTCCTATTTAAAACTTGACTCCTCTACATGTCAAAGAGTCAAACTAGAAGAGTCAAAACTTGACTCTTCTAGTTACATCGTGCATTAAAACCGACGGAAAATGTAAAGTTGCGATTTTCTAGGCTCATATGGCTAGGAACTATACTCTCATTCCTGCGTAATAATCGGGAAACTTCACTGTCGTACCACCTTATGCAGCAGGCGTAATGTTATGACGCAGCGCCTGAAAAAAAGTGCCCAGCTTCCAACGTGACCGGGACTAAGTTTGTGTAGTCATCGTGCCTGCTGCACTCATGGTACGACAGTGAAGTTTCCCGATTATTACGCAGGAATGAGAGTATAGTTCCTAGCCATATGAGCTTAGAAAATCGCAACTTTACATTTTCCGTCAGTCTAAGTGCACGATGTAACAACAGAAGAGTCAAGTTTTAAACAGGAAAAATATCGAAACACTTTGGTCATTTTTTTGGGGAGAAATGCTAATGGTCTTGTGCACTTCACATGATGTATGCTAAGCTATGCTAAACGTGGTACTGCCAGAACCGGAGATCGGCTGAATGGATTAAAAAAACTCAACAGTTTAACTCTGGGGGAGTTGTAAAATGAGCCTTGTAAGGATTTTGGCCAGGCGGATCAAACCCACCCCCAGGGGTTTTCTGAAACACACACACGCACACACAAACCTTTCACTTCCCCCACACATCGGAATGTGTGGAATGTTTTTGAACAAAGAGAAGGACTTTTGGTGTTTAAAAACATTCAACAAAATGTTTTCAATGGTTTTTATGTATATGTGTCTTCCCCATGTCACAGTGAAATAACTTTGTTTGGTCACAGTTTAAATAGGAATTAAAAATACCTTCGTCATGCATTTGAAACATAAGTGTATATTCCTTTGATATAACATAATGTTCCTTGATATCTCTAGAATGCTTATTGAATGAAACACTCGAATATGCATAGAGATGTAAAGTAAAGTGTATTTTTAATTCGTTTTACTGCCAATGAAGATCAAATTGTTATTATAGAACCCTCATCGAACACACCCCCTTCCACGAGAAGCGCGCGCTGAGGAACAAAGGACAATAAACTAAGTTCCCGCGGGCTACGACCATCTCCCCGATTGGCTCAAGCCAACAGGAAATGGATGGATTCCGCCAAGGGGATAAAAGGAGTGCACAGGCTCCGCCTCATCCCTTCTTCGTCTGACCCCCTCAGAGAAACATGTAATGCTTTTGTAGATCTCCTCACGGAGATCTGATCCGACCATGGATCTTTTCTTTTGTTCGTCTATAAGTCTCGTCTTTCCTTCAAATGGACTACAAAGTTCGTCTCACAGGAAAGGAAGTGGACTTTGCCGAACTATTTCCTCGGGTAACGTCACCTCAAAGACTTTCAGCCTTTCAAACACTCGCGCTAAATGCCGACGAACGCCACGTGACTCCCCACGGAACAAAGCAGCCATGAACGAGCCGGGACGGGCCGCGCAAACACGTGACGCACGCGCGCAGGACAGGCGCGCCTCCAGCCGACACGTGGCCCGAACGGCCGAGCAAGGAGGAGCCCGACTCACACAGACCAAATATGCCCTGCAAGTATACCTTCTTTTAGAGCTTCTAAGAAGCATTAAGAAAGTGTTTTCGTGGTGTTCAGAAAGGTTAACTGACTGTTTTGATGAACGTAACTCTCTCTCTCACAACTCACTCTCTCTGTCTCATTCTCTCTCTCTCTCTCCAACTCACTTAACTTGCGCGTATCCATTGTCTAAACGCTCTGCGTCGTCTTAGTTTGTGTTTTAATGTTTGTAAATACATGTATCATTGTAACGTAGTAAATGCTTAAGTAGTAACTTTATTAAATACAAAATATGCTTACCTTGACTGATTGTCTTGCTCATAATACGGGTCAATGAAATGTCAATTTAAAGCTGCACGCTTTACAGAACTATAAATACCTAAGAGGGTGTTTGGTTATAGAGCAGGGAAGGCAGATTCTAGTGGCCACAGAATTTGTTTTCACAAGCTATATAACTTATTGAGCTAATTGATTTTGCCTATCTTGTAAAACGTGGTCCTTGCAATCAATAACAATTAATTTGTGGTTGATTGCGGGGATGCACATGTATGCATATGGGTAAAATTAATAAATTAATATGTAAGACCGGTCTGATCCAAATCTGTATGAATAATTATTAATTATCAATTATTAATTATGATATGCAAATCCCCCCCTGATCAGAACCGACCCAGAGTCTTTACAGCCTATTTCCAAAAAAAGTGGAGTATCCCTTTAATGTGCTGCTATACAGAACCCCAACAAGGAACCATACTGCCAAAGTCAATACTGAATCCACAACCAAAAAAAAAAATTAGTTTAGTTTATTGCCAGAGTGGTCCTTACTAACCTGTTTTATTCAAATACATGCAGACTTACTGAGTACAACAATCCTTTTTTTTCAAAATATGTCTGACCGAAAGAACTTTTGAATGGTAGTGTATATGATATTTCACGTGAAACATTACCTTCAGAAGCAGGTAGAACAGTCACATTGTCCACCCCTGAAGAATGTATTGGGATTTTGATATTTACTCCACTGGATCAAAACAAAATTAAAGCGTCATTCATGAAGAATGCAGGAAAAAAGTGTTCTTTTATCATTAAACTGAAGTGTTTATATATATATCAGCATTCTCAGCACATTAAAAATTGGCATAGGCCAACCAAAAACAAAATTGCTGTAGTTAACTTCTCACTCACCTGTGGAAGAACTGTGACTCATAAACAGTGAGAAGGTGTTTCTTATACCCCCCTTTTGAGTGGTTGATCCGTGTATCACAGTCCAACATCTTGGGCTTATAACAGAACCAGGGTTCTCCGGTCTGTGGGTCTGTGTAGTTGCAAAGCGGCCGCTGTTTGAGTGGCAGACACAAATTACACAAAGTGGTCTCAGAGAGGTACCCTGAGCGGAAGAGGCTCTTGAAGAACACTCGGTCCGATTGCTCCTCTCTCAGTCGCCTGAGGATCACCACGGCCTCACTGGAGTGAATCATGGTCAGTTCCACCTGCACAACGCCTGCCCAAAGCAGTGGGAAATATACAGTGTAGTTTCCATTGTTGTGGTCTTTTACCCGCCCCGCCACACCTGCCGCCAGCTCCGGTGTGTGAAGTCGTGCTACTAGGAAGTCTCCTCCGTGTTTTTTGGGCTGGCCCAAAAAGTTTTGCAGCTGTACCTTCACTGCAAGCTGCCCACCAACCTGCAGCTCTCCAGTGTTTTGAATAGTATAATAGCTCTGAGCAGGATCGCTACTTTGACGCAACGGCAGTCCTAGTATGGATGGCTCTGGCCAGGCGATAGATTTGAGAAGATATCTCTCCTCCCTGGCTTCCTCTGCGGAGGGCTCCTGACCAAGGTGGGCACAGAATGAGTAGTTGAACTCCACGGGGAGAAGAAATTCAGAGGTTTTCAAGACTGACTGGATACTGTTTTGAAGTTGATAGAAGGTGGATGCTGTCTGGCAGTTCCAGCTCTGCAGGAGATAAAATCACAGAAGCTTCAATGTGATGTTTAAAGGGTTAGTATTTTCGATGCTTCAAAACATTCTAACTAACCCACTGATGTCATATGGACTACTTTGATGATGTCTTCATTTCCTTTCTGGACAAGGACAGTATACTGTGTATACATTTTCAATGGAGGGACAGAAAGCTCTCAGAGGTCTTGCGGGCTTGGAACAACATGAGGGCGAGTCATTAATCACATGATTTTCATTTTTAAATGAACGAACACTTTAAATACAGAAAAGCAAGGGAAAGTATTTGAGAGTTTAGACTGAGCATGTATTAGAGAAAACCCGCTTTTTACCCTGCCTTTAAAAGTAATGGGGACCTTATTTTAACAGTAATGGTTCTGCATAAACAAAACTGTAACTTGGCAGTAAGTGAATGATCTATTTATACTTCACTGCTGTGTACTAAATTGTCTTTCCGTAAATCCTGTTGTGTGACCACAAAGAGCTAAATTGTAGCATTATCTTCTTCTAGGACCTAGGTAGTTAGCTAGCAGATAAAACAGTTTTGGACAAAGAAAGGAAATTTGAACTACTATGTCATCACACCGCAAAATAAGCTGGATAGTTACTAATGTGTTGTTCAGTAACTAGACAAATATTTGAGCTAGATTTAGCCCCCAACAACTTTTATTTTTAAATCCTGAGCCAGTTGCATAAACATAGCCAATATGGTAAGATTGAGTTCTAGTATGACCCACTAGCAGTTAGTCAGGGGCAGTCAGTCTTATTTTTCAGAATCAGATTATGTACTTGTTGTACTTACAAACCATTATAACAAACTAAAACACAAGATGAGGCTTCTACTCACCTCCAACGAGGCGATGTTCCACAGCAGGAAAAGAAGTCCTGACAGTGCCAGCAGAGTAAAGACCGGAATATATTTGGGATGGTATTTCCCCATGATTTTCTCTCTCTGTCATTCTTCTGTCCGACACTACAGTGGGTCATGGCTGGCCATTACTGCATTCTTAGCAAATAGGACAAACCAAAATAGCATGAGCAGCAGAGATTGGCAGAAGACGACACCCCTTTTTCTTAAAAGCTAACATATGGAAACTAAAGATAGTTTTCCACACAGACCCGAGGAATCTTTACTTGAAAAATGCATTTTTAACTCCAAACGCAATAGAATTAAAGGTTTAATATCTACAATGTATAAAACCACAATTGACAACTTACTGGCTTATGCCAGATATACAAACAAAACAAGGTGGGAATCTGATCTTGGGTGTATTTACACAGCGGGGAATTGGACAAAAGATTATTGGAATTGGCACAAACAAACATTGGTGTCTAGTAACACTCACAAATTCAATTCAATATTTACCATAGAACATATTTTACGCCATATTAGGAAATGACATCTCTGATCAATGTCAAAGATGCACCATCTCTGTCGGAACTCTCGTCCGCATGCTATGGAGTTGTACCCGTTTGAAGCCATACTGGACTCACATCATCGCAGTAAGCTGGACAGGCTCTGGATGCCGACCCCAGGATTTGGTTACTGGGGGATGTAACCTTACTGAAGGTGAACTCAAACATGAAGCTTTTTGTGTTACTAGCAGCAACGACTGCCAAGAAGTGTATAGTGAAGGATTGGAAGACTGAAAAAGACTGTTTTTTTTTTTTTTATATAAGCCGTTTTTGAGTTTTGTACACAGCAACAATTTTAAGTCAAATGTCTTAAACTATTATTTAGTTGTGTATAAGAGCAGCTTTGTATGTTACTAATTATTCAGAATATGCATATGTCCACAAGCATTATTTTTGTATGAGAGCTGCTGGTAGCCTACATAATTCTATTTTTGTAAGAAAGCTGTTTGTGATTTTGCTAAAGCAAAAGGGTTTTTTTTGTCTGAAGGATTATATTGCTCATTGGACATAACAGGAGAATTTTATGTTATAGAGATTCAGAGTATGCTGAAGTTTTTATTCATTCACTACACGTATGCTGCTAGTAAAGGCACACATTTCTTTTCCTGTTTTGTTTTTTGTAACGTTGGGACATATGCTGGCAAATGTAACCTTATAGTTGACGTGCCAAATCACATCTATTTGTTTTATTAATAAAATGAATATGGAGTAAATTCTGTATGGGTCATTATAAATACTTTGCTTTAAAAGAACCAAGTAGTCACACACACAAAAGATGCATCGATAATCCATTTAGCATTGCAGCCATCTAAATGTAATCGAATTGTGTGGTGCCTAGAGATGGTGGTGCCAAAAACAGAACTAGAGTAGACAGTAAAATAAATGAGAATGGAAAAGAAAGAAAGAGGGCATTACTTAAATTAAAAGAAATGTAAACAGTAATTAAGGTAAAAGGTTTGCAGGTCGTGCAAATTGTTCATGTTCTCTGTGCTTTTGGGTTAAGAGAAGATGAAATTGTAATCAAGTAACGTTTTAACTTGTGTAAGAATTGTGCAATAAGTGGATTGTGATTGTCAAAACATTTGGTAAGTTTAGTGACAACATGTTACAATGTTTACATGGTACAATGACTAGTAAGCAAATGTTTTTATTATTGTATATATACGATTTTTTATTCAAATAAATTCTTATGATTTGATTCCGATCTTGATTTAATATCAATTCATTTGGATATTAGGTACAGTAGAAACATGTTAATTTTTCTCAAGAAAAAAAAAATCTTAAAGTCTGATCTATTTTTAGCAATAGTTATTTCAGACAGTTATGAATAAATATAAATAAATCAAAACTGATTCTGAACTACTTCAAAATTGTCTAGTAAAGCACAGGAACAATATCTGCAGGCTACATGCTAATGTTTTATTTACTTATTAATAGCATCAGAAAAAAAAAATTCCACAGTAAGGTTTGAGTCTGAAACACCGAATATCAAAACAACTTTATATTTTGGTGCATGAGCGGATGCTGGTTAGATGCCGCGGATGTTAAAACACACGTAGAATGACGTAAAGATTGAGAATTCATGTAACTGCATAATCTCGAGGCTGGATTTAATTTTGTTGAACAGGTTACATTATCTGTAGTGTTCTCTGTACCTATTGTCCTGTGTATTGTTCAGAATAAAGTAAAATAATAATAATAATAATCTCGAGGCTGTGAATGAATGTAGCATCATTAACTCACCTATCTTTACTGCACTGAAGCTCCAGTCCTGACGTGCTGCTGATGCTGCCTGCTTTGTTACATCCATTACGAACCCAACATCATGACCAACAGTCAATCAAAAATGTACGAAATAACCGAGTCACTGAAGCCGATTAGATCAGAGGACAGCCAGCAGTGCCTGCGCATTGAGAGGCGAGACTCGAGAAGCGTTTGCTAACACTCAAAATGCACGCGTCGAAATAATCGTTTCCGCATGTAACGTTAAACACACACAAAACAAAAAACAGGGAACAGATAATGGTCATATGATTTCGTGTGGTCCCATATTGCGCTTCAATAGGTAGCGTTAATAATGAGAAATCATTTTACATTTTTTACGCTGCATCAAAGGACGTTTAATGTTTTACTTCCATCCACTGAGGTAGAAGCATGTGTCGACTGCATACGTCATTGAAGGTGCCTACTCAAACTTCCCGGTTTGATTGGGCTGCAATCCGAATGTGACAAATTTGCAATTTAATCCCAAATTGTTTTTTTTTTTTTTTTTTTTTTTTTTTCGGAATTGTGCATGAGCCAATCCACAGATGAACTGTTGATGGGATTTATTTTTGTTTTACTTTACTGACCAAGACAAAAAACAATAAAAGTTTTGTTTGGTAATTATAAATAATGTTTCAATGAAAAAAAAAAAAAAACTTTAGTAATGATAATGTTATTGTTCTGCAGGTTCTGCACATAGGTTCTGCACTGCAGTGAGGAACACTTGCCTCTATAGATGCCTCTGATTGGTCGAATGCGCTGACGTCTTCTTGATGACATTATTAGTAGGCGCCATTGCGCAAATCCAGTTTTTTTTCCCATAGAACAGAAAAGTACAGGGGATACATCAAGCACAAAAATAAATAAAATAAATAATAATAACAAATAACATACAGTCGGCAAGCAACGTATCATTGGGGGGCATGGTCGGTGTGGGGGAAAGCACCCCGACCATCGTAGGCCTATATTTGAATGACAAAAATGTAATTTCGAGTCATTGACGCCTGCCGACCGGCAACGGTAGCCCTTATTTAATTAAAAACTGTCAGTGACCCAACCAAATGGCCGGGGGTGTTGTTTCCAGGCTATTATCTAGCAGCTAGTTGAATCTCCAAGACCGGTAAACAGCCTATAACTCTTATCAACTTGCGAGTTACTATAAGTAGATAAAACCTTGTAACTTACCAATTGTACGAATGCTTTACTCCAAACTATTAATCATTTTGTAAAACGGTGATCAGTAGTAGGCTAGTAGCTACGAAGTTGCCGAGGGACTTTCCTGACAGTTATCCGAATTCTCACAGACTGCAGTCTGTATTGAGCTGATACCTTCAGCTGATAACACTAATGTGAAAGAGACATCCCTTATGAAAAACAACTATAGGAATTTTAGGACAAAATATTATAGCAACGTTAATCCTATAGAGCATTTCACAAGATGTAAACAACACTGGTCCAGAAGCACTTCCTGTTTCAGTTTTTTAACACTACATAAAAGCTGGGATAAAATACAACCAACAGAACATTTAAAACTGAATCAAAAAGTTAAACAAACATCTTTAAGATGTTTTCTTTAGATGTGAAATAAAGAAAACAGTTACAAACTGAAACAGGAAGTGTTTCTGGACCAGTGTTGTTTACATCTTGTGAAATGAAATACTATAGAATTTTGGGACAGAGGACAGAACATCACATTTATGCTTATAAGTATAATTATCCACTACAGTACAGTACAGTACTGTGGGATTGAATGAGTGCATTCAGTAACGTCCAGCACAACAAATGTCTGTATCCTCGGGCTGAGTTTTATTTATAGGCTATAACCACGGGCATTAAAACTAGCGATTAATATAGTGTATTGTATTAAAAATTGTATATGTAACTGCAGATGTAAGCTAGACATTGTTTTACTATGTGGATGTAGATCACAAAATATGCATTTCCATTGCATTTCTCATTTTCATTCCACTGAGCACAAAGCAATGCAGGTACCACACGGGGTACAGTCACAAAAAGATATAAGTACTCCATAATTTTACTTTTTATGTGAAACAGCAAACATTTCAAAGAGTAATTTGAAATGAAATGGACAACCTGTATTGTGGGATGTATGGGTCAATATCACCATTCAACCCTCACAAATTTTGATTTTAATTTACCATTCGCTTTATGTCATGTCATAATAGTAGACACTCAAATACTATATTATCTGAGCTCCCACAATTATAATTTTTTTTTTTCAAATTATGGGCCATTTTTTAGAGCATAAAGCATGTGTCTACCCTGTCATGGACATATACATGACTGTTGTTTTCATTGCATTATTAAGAACACCAAGCACAATGGATTATATAGGTTTGATTAAATTATTATTTAAATATTATTTAAAAATACCAAGATGACAGGGTGGACGAGCCCACGACAGGGTGGACAAGCACACGACGGGGTGGACACATAAAGCAGAACACAAAAAGCATGGCGACAATGCTGCAGGTTGGCCGTGGCATTTAAACTATGGCACTAATGCTGCGTACGTCCTCCTGGGAAGTTCGTAGGTGGGAAGTCGTGTTTACGTGTTTAATTTCGTCGGAGCAAAATGGCGGTGTACCTTCTTTTAATGAATTACGCGAAAATACAGCAAGGTTTCTTAACTCTGCTAATAAAAAAAATGTAGAACAAAGAATGCGCATCAGGTGTGTTTTTCTTTTTATGTTTTTATTATGAAGCCAATCTAAACTCTATCATTGGGTATAACTTTTATATTACATTGATATCATATTTTGTGCAGAGAGCTTGCTTTATAAATGAAAAAGCCTTACAATGTCAATGAGTAAACATTGAAATTCAATTAAAATTTACCGTCAACAGACGTTGAATGAACGTTTCTCACACGCCCCCAACTCGTACAGATCGTGGCTTAAAGAAAATCCCGAGTTCCCCACTGGTATTTACGACATTGTGGTGGCGTTCAAGTGAGGTGCCGAAAGTGTGCCAAGAAAACATTTCCACACCATTCCACCACCACCACCAGCCTGCACAGTGGTAACAAGACATCCATGTTCTCATTCTTTTCACGAATTCTGACTTTACCATCTGAATGAAGGGGGAGATTCCACAATACGACAGGGTGGACAAACATTTAAAGGGTTAGTTCACCCAAAAATGAAACTTAAGTCATTAATTACTCACCCCCATGCTGTACCAACCCCGTAATACCTTCTTTCATCTTCGGAACACAAATAATTATATTTTTGATTGAATCTGATAGATCGGTCCTGACTGCCTGGGACTGGCTCTTGACGGCCCATAAAGTCATTAAAGAAAAGGTTTAAATATTCCATGGGCCTACAGCGGCTCAATTATAAGTTTATCAAGCGACGAGACTACTTTTTGTGCGAAAAAAACATAAATAACGACTTTATTCCACTATTCCATTACTTCCTTATGGGCGCATGCGCGAGAACTGAGACGAGGACGTTCTCATTCGTCTACTTCTTGTTACCGGCTGCTCACCGCTTAGGAGTTTTACCGCCACCTACCGTATAAAATGATGATCCATATATAAGGCGCTCCGGATTATAAGGAACACTGTCGTTTTTTGAGAAGATTACAGGCTTTTAAGTGCACCTTATAGTGCGGAAAATACGCAAATTGAAAAGCGTATGTACAGCGCGCATCTTCCTCTGCTTGTAAACAGAAAGTTTTGCGCTTCCAGCTATATCAGCACATCATCTTATACGCTTATAATTGAGCCGCTGTAGGCACATGGGCTATTTAAACCTTTTCTTTAATGAATTTATGGGCCGTCAAGAGCCAGTCCCTTAGGCAGTCTATGTAGGACTGATCTAGCTCTCAGATTCAATCAAAAATATAATTATTTGTGTTCCAAAGATGAACGGAGGTCTTACGGGGTTGGTACAGCATGGGGGTGAGTAATTAATGACTTAATTTTCATTTTTGGGTGAACTTACCCTTTAAGGGACATGGACAAACTCTTCTTTTTTATTAAATAAAATTATTGTTTTTATTATAAACTGATCAATACACTAAATTTGAGTAATATCTTATTAAACAAAATATTAATAGGAAAAAAAATAAATAAATAAAAAAAACAAATAAGATTGGACTATTTTACTCTCATTCAAATTTGACGAGCAGTGCCTGGGACATAGCAAAATAAATACATCCTCTTATACAAAACTATAGAAAATCTTGAAAATGTATCTAAAGAGCCAAATAATGCTACTGCTATGAATAAAAAAACTTATATAACACACCCTTTCATAGTCATTTGTATGTTAAGGTATAATGGAAAATCAGTTATTTATGTTCAGGACACCAAAAGGCACCCTACAGTGATATTGACCCGTATATGCTTGGGTTGTTTGCTGCATATTCTGGCAAAATTTAGTAGCATCTTGTATTTCAAGTTCAAGTCAAGCATACACAAAATGTGGATAATATGAGCAGAATTTATGAGTAGTATGATATTCTGATACTCCTTTTTTTGTTGCAAATAAAGAGTTTAGGAGCCATTTATATATTCACCTTTTTTGGATAGTTTAATATTGCTATTATTTATACTAACCACTTGGTGGGAGTGTTGCACTGGTTGTGACACGTCACTGGGAATTGGGTATATTTACAGGTGTGGCAATTAATAGGTGTGGATGGTGAGGAACACAAGGTTCTTACCATAGCCGTGAGCACTCAATATCAACAGCACTTTATTATTTAGCACTGGGTGAAGTACCATTTTAATGTAAATTATTCCTTTTCATACTTTTATAATAAACGGGAACACCACCCAAAGAGAGCAAAGTTTTGGACTCTGCATTCTCTGCTACGCGTTGAGAAAACCATGCCATCTATGCCGAGGCCTATAGGATAGCCTCAACACAAAAGAGTAACTTAAAAAGTAAATATTTTTTTTATAATGCCAGACAGGTGAATAACTAAAGAGATTAATGCACATATGAACATGTAACAGCACACTAGATTGTAAGAGCAAGACACTTTTAGTAAATCTGACTTTAATGTTACCTTATTTTGATGTGAATTAAAACATTCCAATATTACAATACAGTTCAGTTTATATTTCGTAATGTATGGGTTTTAACAAATTATTTCAAGTTACCAATATGACTGGAATTTAAAAAAAAATAATAAATATTTCCTAAGAAATACAAATAATGAAATGACTTTTCTAAAATTTATTTGGAGACATTCAGTTAACAGAATGACAGAGGCTGAGTGAAGAAAATTACTCAAGAAGAACTCAAGTGCATTGGATTAGATGCATTCAAACACAAGCATTTTAAAGAATGCACAGTTATACTAATATGAATATGTAACATTTTGTGCGTTTTTTTAACAACCGCAATAATTGTTGCTATAGGTACTAATGGCACGGGAAAATGACCTGAACCTGAACTTTAAAAAAAAAAATCAGATGATCACCGTTCAGGAAGAAAGTGTCTGGAGGCTCTACTGGATGACTGATGATGGAGAGGAAGTTTCTGGGGTACCAGTTAAGGAGAGTCCCTTTCGGTCCTCTGGGTGCACTTTACACGGCACTACTATCAAGCCTGTGCTTCTTTTTCCTTTGCCTTCAGTTCCCTGTTATGCCTGTGGGGATTAAAGAGCACATACATTGAAAATCCCCCACACTTAGTCACACACCTACATTGCGAAATATGCTGGAAGACCCTGTCTGCTTTATTGCTACAAATGAATGTATGTGATAACCAAAAAATATGCTTTGAGTTCACAGCTGATAAAATGTGAGAAGAGTTTTAGAAAAGAATGTTGTAAAGACACCACAACAACAAAGCATCCCATTTAATTTAAAGTGTTTAGGTGGGGGGAAAAAAAGTACACCTCAAGGGAGGAAAAATGATATAAACCCCTTTACATTACCATTTTGACCCATTTTAGGTATGGTCAGACATTAGGTTTTGGTATTTGGTAGGTATTAGACCGTACAGTTGATTCCTTTTAGAAGCTTTTTTATCATATACATCTAGATAGTTGATGTTTAAGTTTCCTTCTGTTGATCTGTCAGAGCCACCGACTGATCCAGAACTGGTTCACATGTTGCTGTTGTGAATGACATGACTTCAGATGACTACTATGCAAGACAGTCTAAAATAGTTGAAAAATAGTCTAAAATCCATTTATGTGATTTTACATTGCACACTCCTGAACATGTTCTATATGTGAATGAATGTACTCACTGCCATATTCTGTAGAGCTGTGATCCTCCTGCACCTCCAACAAAGAAGTTTACAGCAAATAGATTCCAGTTCTTGGGTATAATAACCAGGGAATACCTGGACCAAATAAGACCTGAAAAACGGAGTGAACGAGTTCAACTTCTAAATGTGCCATTTTTTTTTTTAAAGAGTTGTGATATATACCTGTGGCTGTCAGCACAGCAGATTGGGAGGTACTGAGCTTTTCTGCTGGACGTGCCATGTCTGCTAAGCCAGCTAAGACCAGACCCTATGTGAGATCACAAATAAATGAGAAATAAAAAGAAGAAAAAAATTATATTCTATATATATATACACACACACACACACACACACACACACACACACACACACACATATATATATATATACAGACACACACACACACAAAGAACATTCAGACACTGATACACACACAAAGAACATTCAGAAACTAAATATCTTACCCATTTAAACATCGGTGCCCAGAAAAACACAGTCTTTGGACCTAAACAAAGAGCAAATCAATGAATCAATCCAGTTAAACTCATGGTTCACAGGTAAAATGTTCACAAAAAATGTGTTTTAACATACAAAACAAAACGAACCAATACTTGATCTTTACATACTGGCACTTTTTTCTTCATTACCCATTATCCTTCCAAAACATAAAGGTAAATGTAAACACTAGATGTTTTTTTTATTTTATTTATTTACATGACAGGAAAGTGTGTGGAGGATTGGGATCAGGACACAGACTCGAACCTGCATCCCTCTGTGTTGTGAACTTTAATTGATTTTCAATAAGAAATACAATGTACAATGGCTGATGATACAATTATGGGCTATTATCTGTTAACACTTAATATTTATTTGAACAATCAATCAGTGAGACTAAAATGAATTAATAATCAGCTTACATTGGAGTTTGTGCCATCAGTGATCTACTTATTACAATTACGGTTTGTTTCAGAACATTGAGAAAACAATCTGCATAAAAAAGTAATATCATTTAATAAAAAAATAAGTGATCTCTAGCACTTAATATGACCTCTGGCAAAATTGAAGCTAAGGTCAAAATCTGCTGTGTTTATATGCCAACACAGTTGTTTTGTTTAATCTCTGTTTTGTTTAAACTCTGTTTATCAACACGCATGCAATTTGATCTCTTTTTTTTCTACCACCAAAAACTAATAGAACTAAACACACTGAATCTCTTAAAAGAAATCATGTGAGGTCATTTTAGCAGAAAATATATTGATTGATACAGTAACGGATAAATTGCTGAGAATAATATCTGTCTGTAAAGGGCAATTTGCACAAATAGTGTAATTGAAAATGCCAAAAACACTCATACAAACATAACAAAAATCCAGAAAAGAGTCAACAAAATACAGTATTATACAGTGCCTATAATTTAACACCTTCCTAATATAATCAACATTTTCTATATCTAAGAATATATTATTTTCTAAGCTACATCTTCATCAAATATATTTATTTTAAATATCGGAGTTACTGTTCTTTGACCAAAAGACAAAATACCTGCTCAGGTAGCAGTCTCTACGGCTGCACCCTCATTTGGCACACATCAGTGTATGCCGCCAGGCCCCATTTCAAGAGGTTAACTGGATCAGTGTCAGTGACATTAAAGGTCACACTAACAGCATTTGTGTTACCTGCGGGGTGGTTATAAACAGGTCTCAATTTAGCCGGCAGGATATGCTCGATCTTGCCCAGGAGTCTGTGGTAAGAAGCTCTCAGCCCACCCATAGCCATGATGACTTCTAAACAAGCTAAATGCTATCACTGCACGCACTATCACTAATACAGCTCAGGACGTGCAGGACACTCGAATGCTATTGAACCGGGGTGTTTCCAAAAGGCAAGAGCCCGCAGACAAGGAAACGGGATCTTTGGACGAGCATAAAGTACAAAGTCTACTTTACTGTCCTACTCTCGACCTTGCTAATGCAGTTTACTGGTGTGTTGCCGTTGTTAAGTGTCAGTGAGGACGCGTCGCAAAGCTAATTGCGTCATGACGCACTGTGGTATAGGATTGGTTGACATCAGTTGGCATGGTCAAGCCTCTTTGTGTGATTGGCTGGGAGGCGTTCGTACTCGCTCAAAAGGCGGGACCTTTGAGAAATGAGTGTTTTAATAATAAGGAAGTGGACTATTTAGCAAAGCAGGCGCTGAATGTATCCATAGACAGTAAAAGAATGTATCACATATAGAAATTATTTTTTCCACTAAATACAGAAGTTAAGGTTAAAATGAGAACAGCTATTAAAGGGGAATGGCTAGAAATTTCAAAAATGGAGGAAAGAGGAAGACAAGATATTATTTAAAATCAAGTAGGGATGGGTTGAAAGGGAGTTTTGGTTCGCCCTGGGCACAAGGGTGTGACACGGCTCTGAATCATCGTAGTTAATGTGGACCAGCAGAAACTTTAGAGAATGTACTAATATTGTACTGCTTATTAAAACGAAAGGGTATTTCTGTTGGAAGAATGCGAAATCATACACTTAAAACACTGCAGCATAATGGGCTGAATAATCATAGAATAATACATTAATGAGATACTTAAGAAAGGTGTCTGTTTAATACGTTTCGGAAGGTAACATTTGATTTTTCAATGATTCAAACACACCTAAGAAGACCAAGGTTAACAATATAATTATTCCAAATAGCCAGAAAGTCGTCAAAGATGTTTAAAATATAAATATCCCAAGAAATTGAATGTGAAATAGGCCTACTGGGAGTGGAAATTAAAATTTTCCATGCAATTCATAAAAAAAGAAGGAAAGAATCCCTCGAGGGGATTCAGTAGGCCTATCCTTTGTAGTGAAGAGGGTAGCCGTCTTTGGAAATTAATTTAACAAACATTTATTGATTAATTGGTTGGGTTGATTTGTTTTGTTTAATATAGTACAGTGCATGGAAATATATTGCATTGCATTGCATTTGTAATTGCATGACGTGTTTTTTGTCTATTAAGCATCGAAATTAGTTTCCTTTTATTTTAAACTCCTTTTTCCAAAAAGTGTGATTTAATATGAAGAGTTCAGATGCAAAAGCCTCTAAATGCCATTTGAAATTTTCTTCTTTAATGATGATTTTTATCAAACTTGTATATTTAAGTTCAGTAATTTCACTTAAATAACAATTAATAGGTAATTATCATTGCCATTTAAGTGAAATCACTTAACTTAAATATACAAGCTTGATAAAAATGATCATTCTATAAGAAAATTTCAAATGGCACTTAGAGGCTTTTGCATCTGAACTCTTCATATGTCAATATTTTCTTCCAGGCTATTGTAGCGTTTTTAAATCCTGTTTTCTTGTTTGTGTATTGTTTTGTTTTTAAGAAAAAAAATGCTATTACTTTTCTCAATGTTTTTATGTAGGCTACCCAGATAGCACAAGGCTGTTTGATGTCCTATTTACATCTGGAAGACGTGTTTTTAAGAGTGCTTGCTCATCTGCAAGACGTCTATGACGTTTCCTTCTAAACGTCTATTTGACATCTGCAGGAAACGTCCTATAGACGTCTTGCAGATGAGCAAACACTCTTAAAAATATGTCTTCCAGATAGGACATCAAATACCCTTGTGCTATATTTGATGTCCTATCCTATTTACATCTGGAAGACGTTTTTTAAGAGTGTTTGCTCATCTGCAAGACGTCTATAGGACGTTTCCTGTCAGATGTCAAATAGATGTTTATAAGATGTCAATTTAACATGCATTACATAGAGACATCTTCTAAACGTCTATTTGACATCTGACAGGAAACGTCATATAGACGTCTTGCAGATGAGCAAACACTCTTAAAAATACGTCTACATTCAATATTCACCTTACTCTTTTTATAAAACAAACAAACAAACAAACAAACAAACAAACAAACAATAAAGACAGTGCCTACTATGGTGAGTTACAGATTTAGAACTAACAGATTTATCCAATTTTTTAAAATATATATTTTAGTGTATACAAATACCTATAGACAAAATTTACCAGATTTATCGTCAGCGATTCGGCGTACCTACTGCGCACACTTGACGCTCTCGAGAGCGAGCCGCTCATTACAGTCAACACACTGCGCCTCTCTCCCTTCATTGGCTTTGAGCTCGAGATGGATTTGACGTACCAGAGCAGCAGAGGCTAAAGCGGATAGCCAAACAAGAAGCCCAATATTTTACTAACGTTACACCTTAAAGCAATCATGGACGTAGTGTCGGAAACGGATCGCCGCGGGGGTGTCGATATCGAGGAGTAATATTCTCTCATTCATCCAGTATCAGTTGTCGATGAACTTATAAGACCGACTATAAGCTTTGTGCAGGGAAACAATAATAATCAAACGACACGGAAGGAAGACAAACACAGAGAAAAGCGTCTGCTCTCCCCCTTTCATCCATGCATGTCTCAACGTTTGAGGTTTAAAACAACATGTCCTGCTCTGGCAACCTCATTTGGGATGTAAGAAAACGCACCATTGGATGCACAGATCCATTTGCGGTCAGGACAAAATATTTAGGTAAGAAACTACGAGCAGTATGTAACGTAATGACACATAAAAATTAGACTTGTTTACGAAGACCTTTTTAGGTGACAGCTGTCATTTGAGCTTGCACACAGGACAGGGACTGGTTAAAGATCGTCTGACCTGTTACTCTGATGCTGATCTGTTTTCAGAACGGTGTTACCGGTTACATTTTGGTTAAGAATAATAATAATAAATAAATAAATAAATGAAATGTCAAACTGATTGGTCTGGAAAGAGCTCTGACTTTGATTTTTCTGATTTAAGAGGAAGTAGCTTAGTTGTATTTTGGCTACAATTTTCGTTTTCCTTTTTATTTTTACCAATTTAAATTATACATGTCTCACAAGTGCATATTATATCAAAAATGAAATAGACCCCACAGGAAATGTTGTTATTATTTTTTGTTGTATTTTTGGTATCAATGAGTCCTTTGCTTCAAAAGGTTGTTTATGTTCCAAAACAAGAAAACAATTATGCATATTATGATTGTTTTTATAAATAAAATGGAAGCATAAGAAGATGGATCTATCTGTTAGGAAACATGAGATGTTAATAGGTTTCTGTTTTTACTTTTTTATACATGCAAATTTGTGTCATTGAATGTTAGTCTTTATGCTATTAAAGGGATTTATAGTGTGAAGAGATTGTAATAATCCATTAAAACATGCAAAACACAACACTGCCACTGATTGTTTTTTTTTTGTTTGTTTTTTTGATCTGATATGTTTTTAATAACTTTTAAACAGAATTTTTTTTCTTTTTTTTTACATTGTCAAACTTGTTCCACAAAATTTCACTTGTTAGTCATTGACTAACAAGCGCTTTTGATTTTTGACACAAAACATCTATTGTTGTTTTGGTTTTCAGGTACAGATATATTTTATTTATTGCCATAGTTTAGCTCTTATTTATTTTTTGATGGAGAATCTCTCTGTTACCAAATCAGGATTGAAAAATGTTTCCAAAAAGTTCATAGTTCACACAAAAAATTTTATTTTGTCATTTACTCATCCTTTCATTATTGTTATTTTCTTTTGTAAAGCACAAATAAATCATGGATTGGCCATGTTGTACTTTTCCATTAAATGAAAGTGAAGGTACAGAAGCTCTTAAGATGACAAAACAACAACAACAACAACAACATAAAAAGTACCACAAACCCAGTCCATGATATGATGTTTGGACTAGTCTTATAAAGCCATATTATCGCCTTTGTGTAAGGGTTAGGGTTTGAAACAGATCACTTAATTTATAATAGAGACATCCATTTTCTGTAAATCTGCTTTGAAACAATATTGTGACTTTCACTTCATAGTTTCATTTCACAATCATATTTTGATTCAGTATTAGCCTACCCTGTCACTGTGCCTCCATAAACTGAATACTTATTATAGGAATAAATAGGAATTGTGCTCATGGCTTGACAGTGAAGAGAATCTGACATTTTCTGACCTCTAAAAGTCATTTTCACTCAAATCAGGCAAAACAATATTTTACTTCACTGGTGAATAATAAAATTGTGTTGTGAGACAGCCCTCTCTGCAACATTACACTTGAGTTAGAGACCTGAGAGAAGTGTCAGTCAGTCTTGGCAGACTTCAAACCACGCTTTTGTTATAGAATCCACCTGATCTGACCCAAATATGTATTTTAAACAAGACCAGTTCAGCTCATTTCTTCTCTGTACCCTAAAAATTGGATGCTTAATTCTGTTTGGTTAATGACTTGCTCCAATATGTTCAGTGTTTTGTGCCTGTGAGCTGTTTTGCTCTGGATCTCACATTCAGATATAGTGATGATAGCATATCATTCAGAGTGTGCCAAATTTAGCTCGGCTCTTGTTCATATTATGAAACCTGCCAGCGCGGACTGTTAGAAACAAAGATCAGCCAAAAATACAACAGAGTATCTGTTTTATGCAATTGTGAATGGAGTGAGAGTAGATTTACATCCCTACTAATGTTCTCAAATTCTAGTCTACAAATCCCAACCCAGTCCAAAATGCTGAGATGTTGCGTTTTATAATTGAATGCCAGCTTTTGCTTTATTTTGCCATGTGAGGCCTGCCAGTATAGAGGTTGTACTATCAATGCATAGAGCAATGTCATCTCAGACTGTTGCTCTTCTCCAGGCTTGCACCATTGAAAATGGTTGGCCTAAGTTTGCCCCTTGCTATTTGTAGCTCCTTATTACACAGGCTGAAAATACAGCCATGGAAAGATCTGTCATTTACCAACCACATGCAGTTATCTGCATGTCAGGAATAAAAAAAAAAAAAATTCTTAATGGAAGAAGTGCCAGGTGTGGCTTGCTATTGTCTTTGCAACTCCAGTATTTGCATGTCAAATAAATCTGAGGTATTTATAATAGATTAGACCAACAAAAACAAAACAACATCCTCAAACCTGAAATTACCACATCAGTGTATGACAGGATGTTTTCTGTCTTCGGACAGCAACTCAGGAAATACAGGAGCTAACGTAATAGCGTTTTGGCATTTTTCCAAAGCAGTGAAGATATATCAGCAGCCATTAACAATCATTCCAGCCTCCTCAGGCACATAATATAGTTTTATGCACACTGGAGCTTTGATTTACAACATAAATGCGCCTTTCAACCTTAGATTAGTGTGCTGGTTATTCATATTTCATATTCTAATCCTTTGTTTCACCTGTACTCTTGCCCCCCCCACCCCCCCCCCCCCCCCAGCAGTCTTTTTTTGTTGATTTATTTTTTCCTTGACATAGTAAATTTCCTCTGGTTGTCTGAACTCAGCTTAAAGGAAAAGTTCACCCAAAAATGAAAATTCTGTCAGTATTTACTCACCCTCATGTTGTTCCAACCCCGTAAGACCTTCATTCATCTTCGGAACACTTGAGAGCTGGATCACTCCTCCATAGGCTTCTAAGGGATTGAAATTTGCCAGCCCCGGAAAGTTATTAAAGACATTGTTAAAATACTGTGAGTGACCACAGTGGCTCAATCTTAAAGTCGGCATGAAATCAAATTTGACAAATCTTCTTTTTATATGTAATACTCGCATTCAAATCTGCCTCCATTTTGTATGCAACGCCCAACCTCCATCGATCCAATCAACTCCCGAGGGACGAAATCAAGCCCTGCCCTAATTTTTTTTCTAATTTTAGAAGCCGTTTCACTCGGATATACAGTACGTCACGACAAGGAAAAAATGACATTCTCAACTTCCTTTTCACGCCGACTTTAAGTTTATCAAGCGATAAGAATACTTTTTGAGCGCAAAAACAAACAAAAATAACAACTTTATTTCAACTATTCATTTCCTTCTCTTTTGGCCTCTAGTCTAGTCAGTTAACATAGTGTGATTGCTTAGAGCTACATCACACGTAGGCTCACTATTGGCTGACGCTGGTCATGTGTGTGATGACGTACAACAACAGAAGCTTACGCTGTTACACTAGTGAACTCACTCGAGGCCCACAGAGAAGGAAATTAATAGTTGAATAAAGTCGTTATTTTTGTTTTGTTTTCTTGTTGCTTGATAAATACTGACAGAAGTTTCACTTTTGGGTGAACTATCCCTTTAAGAGTAAATGGGACATATGCTGATCTTTTTTTTAAATGGGCTCTATGCACGGCGGTATTTCCGGTGAAGCATTAAGGATGCTCGATAACTTCCACCGATCGTAGAGTCCAATGCAATACAGAGAATTTATATTGAATTTTATACTCCATGGTTATACTAAAGAAACGTTAGTCACAAAAACAGATAAAACAGACACCCCTCGTTGTGTTTATGCTTCTTTTTAAAAGTATATTAAATAAACATAACTATATATAAAATTACATCTAAACGAATGAACGTTTCGCTTCAAAGACGGGAGGACAGTAAATTTTGAAGACTCTGCCATAATCCTGTTTACCTTGGTTTTCCTCCGCTTTAATCTCCCCAACTGGAAACTGTTGAGCATCCTTGGGTCAAATGCGGAACTTATGCGTGTATATAGCCCATAGTGGTTGACTATTGATAAGAAACTGAAAACTGGTGCTGTCAACACATTGCTGATGTTTGTTTGAGTGGCCTGATGTTTCAGCATTGGATCAACTTGCTAAAATTTGATAAAAACAATTTGATAAAAACAAATATTGGGACATAATTAAACTAGAATTTAAAACTTACGTTTTAAAATGTAATTTGATCTTGTTATTGCGCAGATGAAACCGTCATATAGTCTTCAGTGTCACAATCCTTCAGAAATCATGCTGAATTGCTGCTCAAGAAACATCTTTTATTATTATTATCAGTGATTAAAACAGTTGCACAGCTTTATTGTGGAAACCGATACATCTTTTTTTCACAATTCAAAAGAACAGCATTTTTTTTTTGTAACAACATAAAGGCATTTATTGTCTCATTCTTGCTAAATACAATTCTTTAAAAATTGTGATGATGGGAAGAAACCTGTTTGGAAACAGCCAATTGTGCAATTACATTTGGTGCCGCTATTAGCACAGAAATTCCAGCTTTAAAGGGCTGAATTAAATGTGTATTTAATGTGGGATACATCAGTTGTATGTCCTTGTGAATACTCTCTTGTGTGATTTTTCTCTTGTGAGTTTTTAAGTGAAAAGAGATGCCTCAATAAAATGTGTTATTTGTTTCTCTGTAGGGAGAAAAGAGTTTGTGCAACGACTGAAGCTTGAATCCGTTCTCAGTGTGCACGATGGATGTGTAAGTCACTAAACCCTTTGTTTCACCTGTACTCAAGTGTCCATTTGTGTCTTTTTTTGTTGATTATTTTTTTTTCCTTGACAAATGTGCCTGTTGGAGAATGTGTGTGTCTGGGTTATTTTATCTCAGGGGAATGAATCGTTGTGCTTGAATTGAGTGTGTATGTTGTGTGTTGTGTGTGTGTGTGTGTGTCTCTTTCTACCCACTTATCTGTGGCTCCTGTTCTTTATCTGTCAGTGATTTAACCTCAAAAGATGATAGGCGCCAGTCAGCCATCGGGGACGTCATTTTGTCAATGTTTCTTTACTGCTGGGACATGTACTCTATTTTAATTGCAAGTCTAGCAAATGACAAACAGTCTAATATAACCATTATCGGGCTTTAAAAAACCTGCAGTACCGAGCTGGCGCAAGTTTTCAATTAGTTTTTATCAGTGAAAAGGATTCTGTGTTTTACTACAGTACTGTGAGGATTTGAGGCCTGAACATGATCAGGAACAGAATGCAGCAGTTTAACACTTGAACGGCCATTTTGAATTTTTTATCTGCAATAACTTTGTTGAAAAAATAAATAAAATCCTGCTGGTACATGACTTTTCCTAAAAGTGTCTGTATTTTCATTTAAAATGTTTTTAAATTACACATAAGGCAAATTATTTACATATTTACCAATTTCGGCCATAGATGGTCATATTGACCTCACTGAATTTCTTCTTTTCTTTTTTTTTACATTTCCCATTTTTGACCTTTGTCTCTCTCACTGTCAACAGAATATCTAATAAGATTCGTTTTAGTTGTTATTATCTTGTTCTGAGTTATGTTTAATTGATATGGAAATATAGCCTATCTGTTGTGAATATAAAATAATTACGGTAGGCTACAAATGATATTATCATTTATAGATGTATAGTTAAACTTGTTTAAATGTACAATTTGGTGTTTTGTTTTTAAAATATATCCTAATACAATAAATGCATTAATCTTTCAATTGGGTGTTTATCATTAAAGATTTAGAGTTTGTAATCTTGCTGTCAAAATAGCTGCTTGTGACAGTTCTGGTAGTTATGCAATTCTGGCACTTCTAGTGTTGATATGGATTGTTCACAATAAGCAGATATAACACATCACATTTGTAAAAAAACCAAAAAAACAACAACAAAAAAAAAAAACATGCTGCTAGATCATATGTCATAACTCCCATTTGGCTGCAATGAGCATATTTCTCAATTGGCAGCCTTAAAAAAAAAACAAAAACAAAAAAACAATTGTATTCTGACAAAATACACCATTAAAAAGTTTGGATTCAGAATTTCTTTCTTTTTTTTAAAGAAATTCATACTGTTATTGAGCAAAGAAATTGAGCTCTGAATTGATCAAAGATTGACTGTAAAGACATTTACAATGTACAAATGATTTCTAATTTTAAATAAATGCTGTTCTTTAAAACTTTCTATTTATCTAAGATGGTTGATTTCCACAAAAGTGTTAAGCTAACCCTAACTGTTTTTTTAAGATTGATAAATAATAAATGTTCCTTGAGCCTCAAATCAGCATATTAGAATGATTTCTGAAGGATCATGTGACACGACTATATTAAAAAATATATTAAAAAAACAAAACTTTTATTTTAAAATGTAATCATATTTTACTGTTTTGTGCAAGCAATATTTAAATAAATATTTCATTATGTTATAGTAGTCAGAAGTAAGTGCCAGATCTGTTCTGGAGGGCTCTAAAAACTGTGAAATTGACATTTTCAATTCTCTGCTTCCTTTCACATCATAGCTCAGAATAAATCCATTGAGAAAAATGGAGTACTTACAGAGTATATTCAGGTTGAATAAAGACCTAAATTATGGATCCGTTTTATTATTATTATTATTACTTAATTGTTAAAGGAACACTCCGACTTTTTGGGACTTTAGCCTATTCACCTTACCCCCCAGAGTTAGATAAGTCCATACATACCTTTTTCATCTCCGTGCGTGCTATAAGTCTGTTTGACGCACCCACCGCTAGCCTAGCTTAGCACAAAGACTGGATGTGAATGGTTGCAGCTTTCATACTGATCCAAATGAGTGACAAAATAACGCAAACGTTTTCCTATTTACATGTTGTGGTTTGTATAGTCACAGTGTGCAAATATCAAGGCCATATGAGACACAGACATCTTTTGACCGTATAAATACTATATTTTCTGAAGGGGATCACTGCTACTTGGGCAGAGTGATAACCATCACCTGAGACGCACCGTGACGAGGAGCAGAGAGTTCGCTTCGCTCAGCGTTGGAATAAAGAGTCAGCAATTACTAACGTTAGATAGAAAAGCATAGTTTATCATGGGTGTTTGCTTTATTGTATGAGCTGTGACAATAAACAGGGGAGACCAGGTAATACAGTACCATGTTTCATTGATTTCCAACCAAAAACGCACCCAGATTTATAAATATCACATGAATAAATAATTATTATTATTACAGGAATCAATATATTTTAAATGCAATTTATTAGCTGAACCAAATGTATTCAACAGTAAATTGCATTACTATAGGATAGAATAAGGGGAAAGTAATAGCACAAATTGTTTTTGCACAATGAACTCACAGCCTATCGTACCCTTTTGCACGCTCAAGTTCGTTATTTCCATGGTTATTTCAAATTTAGGCTACTAGGCGCGCAGCGCGCAGGGTGCAAGTTCAACGCGGTGAAAGCGCTCGTTTTTTTTCCCAAGCGCGTCCGCACCGCATCAAGATAAAAACATATTCATACCCTAATCATGTAATAGTGTCACTAACGTTACATTAGATCTGGCTAAAGGCACTGTTACAGTAGGTCATCTAAAAACATAACGGAACACTTACCTCAGCCGCAGGTGATCCACTGTCCTGTCTGTGCTATCGATGGGATGGCCGTATCCTTCAGCACATTATGGTCCGTGTGGCAAATTCCATTTTTTCAAAATAGTCGTCCTCATTGAAATGTACCGAGCAAACATAATGTCCCTTGATAATCTTAGGTGTGTTTGGATAAATATCCAGAGTAAGTTATAGCCATTTCTTATCCAGTCAGCGTTTTTAGTTGGAATTCTGTGAAACATGGTTACCTCCCCTGTTTACAGTCGCAGCTATTTACAATAGAGCGAAAACCCATGACTCTAAACTAGGCTTTTACTATTTATAAATTGCTGACTCTATTACCCAAACACCGAGCGAACTCTTCGCTCCTCACCACGGCGTGTCTCCGGTGATGCGGTTATTACGCCGTCAAAGTAGCAGTGCTTCGCCTTCAGAGAATAGTTCCCAGGTTTTATACGGTTAAAAGATGTCTGTGTCTCATTTGACTTTGTTATTTGTACATTATGTGACTATACAAATCACAACATGTAAATAGGAAAACGTTTGCGTTATTTTGCCACTCATTTGGATCAGTATGAAAGTTGCAACCAGTCACATCGAGTCTTTGTGCTAAGCTAGGCTAGCGGTGGGTGCGTCAAACAGACTTATAGCACGCACGGAGATGAAAAAGGTATGTATGGACTTATCTAACTCTGGGGGGTAAGGTGAATAGGCTAAAGTCCCAAAAAGTCGGAGTGTTCCTTTAACATTAAATAAGCAAACCTTTATACAAGCATAATTCATTAAATGAATGAATGAATGTGTAATATCATATCCTATCATCAGTAATATCAGTAATATCTCTTTCTCTCCCTAAAAAGAACATAAAATTGGTCTTTTAATTTTTTTTTGCTTTATAAAAGCTATCCATCCCTATTATTAAGAGAATCAGTTTTTATTCCATTTGATCAGATGACCTTTCTCCATGGCCTTCCTTTTTCACTCTTTTTTAACTATGTCAGCTGGTGTATAAAACCAGGACAAAAGCACACTGTGCATTTTTAACTTCAAGAAGAGATAGATGTCTTTTATCACCTGACTTTGGGGTAACGTTTCAGGTTCTGTTCCAGTGTTGCCTCATTATAAAGCAGACTCCCCACATTTCCTTCAACATGCAGTTCAGACTGCTTTCAGCACTTGTTATTCTAACATGCAATGCATCTTACTAAATCTAACACAATCTAATTCCAACTCCCCACTATACAAAGCAGAACAGGCGAGTGAAAAGCGTAAGAGTAGAATGAGGGATAAATGCTTAATCCCTCCCAATGATGTTATTTTTGAAAGGAAGAGGTCAAAGGAAATGGACCCTGTGTGATGATGTTTGAGCTGCTCTAGAAAGGGGAGGAAAAGAGCGTATCAACCTTGAGTTAATGAAATATTGATTGCTTTCTCTTAAAGGCACAGGCAGCACACTCTACCTCAGCTCTCAAATGTTAAAGCAGGAATTTATGTGATGGTTAGTTAATGCTCAGTTCCTGTCATCAAATAGTGGAACACAAAAGATTAGTTCTTCAAAATTGTGTTCCGAAGAAGAAATGATATGGGTGATGATAAATATTTCATTAAAGAAAATGATGGACACTATGCTAAATAATGGCACAGTTTATGGGACAGAATAAATAAGCTTTTCTATTTTAGAGCAATCAGTGTTGGTGTTCATATCAGCTGGTTTTCGTCTTTCTTTAAAGGTTAACACCATATCCTGGAATGAAACCGGAGAATACATCTTATCAGGCTCCGATGACACCAACTTGGTTATCACAAACCCTTACAACAGAAAGGTAAGTAAAGACAAAACTGCTACAAATAAAACGGCATTCCACTTTTGTTATGCATGCTACTGTATGCATTTTAGCAAAATATTGGATTATTTTGAATCAGTGGCGTACAATCAGTACCATATTGGTTATCGGAATATAATAAAGTTTTTTGATATATTGGTATCAGTCGATATTTGGTATTCAGTCAAAATTTGGTCTATTTTAGAGGAAATGTACATTACTTTTGCCATCATCCAATGCTCACTTAAAGTTTAATTGTTTTAATGATTGATTTTAGGTTTTGCTTTTGAGTTTATTTGTTTATTTAGATAAAACGCTATTTGGATAAAATTATATAGAGTTTTTAATATCAGCCATTTATTAGTTATTGGCCATTACGTGACAATGATTATTTGTATTTGTATCAGCCAGAATTTGCTAAACAATCTCGAAAAGTTGATCCGTTGAATATATATATATGTATATATATATAATTATAATAATATTGAACCAAACTTGTGCTAATAAATCGGCATTCCACTTTTGTCATGCATGCTACTGTATGCATTTAGCAAAATATTGGATTATTTTGAATCGCTGGCATACAAATAGTACCATATTGGTTATTATCGGACTATAGTTTTTAAAAATGTAGGATAATTAGGATAAAATTTTGTCTATTTTAGAGGAAATTTACATAAATGTTGCCATCATCCAATGCTCACTTACAGTTTATTTATTTTAATGACTGATTTTAGTTTTTTGCATTTTAGTTTATTTATTTATTTAGATAAAACGCTATTTGGATAAAATTATATACAACACAGATTATAGAGTTGTTATTGGCTATTACATGAAAATGTTTATCTGTATTTGTATCAGCCAGAATTTGCTAAACAATCTAGAAAGGTTGATCCGTTGAATATATATAATAATAATAATATTGAACCAAACTTGTGCTAAACCGTGGTGTATTTGTTGACATTTTTGGTCCATTTAAAATCGCTGTGCTTTCTCCTTGAGGTCAAGACGACTATTCGTTCAGGACATCGGGCCAACATCTTCAGCGCTAAGTTCATGCCCCACACTAACGATCAACAGATTGTGTCCTGCTCAGGAGACGGCATCATTTTCTACACGCACACAGAAAAGAGCCAAGAAATCAACAGACAGTGCCAGTTCACATGCCACTATGGCACTGCTTATGAGGTACAGGTGTTACAGGAAATAAGTGTCTTTGTTTGTAGTTTGGTTGACGTCTCACATATTTCTTACTTTCTGTTTCTGTCTAAAGATAATGACGGTGCCAAATGACCCCTATACCTTCTTGTCCTGTGGAGAAGATGGTACAGTGAGGTGGTTTGACTTGCGGATGAAGACGAGCTGCACAAAGGAGGACTGTAAAGATGTAAGAATGCTTTGAACATGCTGTAGTCACGCATTACCAAATATACCCAAAGGCTTAGCAAGTTTCTTCCTAGTAGTGCTCTGGAGAGGGACTGCTGTACTGATCTGAGATCTCCTTAATGTCTCCATTCCCGCTGGTGAATAACACTGATGCAGTGCTGCATGCACCTTAGATATATTTCTGAGAAAGCAGCCTGCAACCTCGATTTCTCAACCCACAGAGTGTGTGCTGTGAGGACAGTATTGGCCTGAAGGCATGATTGCTTTCTGTTGCTATCAGAAGGCGTTTGTTTATAAGATGGAATGAACACACTGTTTGTACTCTGCTTGTGTTCTGCCAGTAGTAGGACTTCAGCTGTCAAATACATTTAATATACAGTACATTTGAAGTGGGATTTGAACCAATGAGGTTTTGTTGTGGGCGGGACTAGTGTGCTTGTCCTATAATAAATAATAATAATAATAAAATAAATGCCGTTCGGTATTGTGTTATCTTATGCCATCATCTATCTTTTTTTTTCTTCTATTTCTCAATATTGGGGTTTGAAATCCCCACTGTTCTGATGCAATAGCATTTATACATAAAAATAATACTTTTTGGACAACTGCATATACTTGCTGTGTACTGCTTTTGAAAGTTAACCAACATTATTGATTTTATCCCAAATGATACCGTCAATCTAAAAAAAAGCCCCTTGTGTTTGATTCACTAAGATTTCCTGATAACCTGTGCTGTGGTTTTCAAATGTTACAACCCACATATTTATTTTCTGTCTATTATATGTCATTCCCCACTTTCTCTCTCTCTCTCTCTTATCAGGACATTTTGATTAATTGCCGGAGAGCCGCTACCTCAATATCCATTTGCCCCCTAGTCCCCTACTATCTTGCTGTGGGCTGTTCAGATAGCTCCGTGAGGATCTACGACAGAAGAATGCTGGGAACAAGAGCTACGGGTGAGAAATGGTTCAAGTTCATCATTTCAGCCTTCAGAGAGGAACAAATACCAACCTCATGATTCACAATCTTTTATATTTAGTATTAGGAGCCAGATATGGATCTGTGACTTATACCATAATTTGAGAAGCATAGCTTCTATTTTTATGTTCTCTTAAAGATGGCTTCACATTTTTTGAATCATCGAAATACTGAAAAATTCAGTTCCCACTTTAAGCTTGAAACAAGCCCAGAGTTTTAAATGTTTCATTATGTTGTCCTATAAATGCTTTTCTGTTTCGCTAGGTAACTACATGGGCAGAGGGACGACCGGCATGTGCGTGCGTTTTGTCCCAGCCCACCTGTCCACCAAATCCTGTCGGGTCACCTCTCTGTGTTACAGTGAAGATGGACAAGAAGTGCTAGTCAGTTACTCCTCTGACTACATCTACCTGTTTGACCCCAAAGATGATCAGGCCAGAGAGCTCAAGGGCCCTTCTGAAGAGCGGCGAGAGGAGGTAAGCTGATATCAGCAGGATGTTCACACTAGAGCTTATGGTGTGCATCTGAGGTCATTTGTTTTTGAGAAGAGTTATTGAAGAGCTGACATGTTATTTTACTAAATTTAAAAAACATCGACAGATAATTCAAAATGCTTTACATAATTTTAGAAAGATAAAAATGAAAGTATTTTGTAGATCCAGACCGATATATCGGCAGGCCGATATTAGGCATTTTCTAAAATATCGGTATCGGCAGTTATAATGGCCGATAAATGAATATTTCAAAAATAAAATAAAAACTGATGAATCACGCAGCTTATAACTATAAGGCAAAGAAGGGGCTAATTATTATTTTATTTATCAGAACTTTAATATATTTTGATGTTCCTCTGTTCTGTTGTGATCAATAGAAACAAGTTTCTTTTTAAAATGCATTATCATATTATTTTAGTTAAAACTCATAAATAACTACAAATAACTAATGTTAGGGAAATCTGTCAATTTTTTTGTGCGTTTCTGAAATAATAATGATAATAATATCGGCCAATATATTGGAATATTGGATTTTAAAACCAACAAATATTTGTATCGGTGTCGGCAATCAAAATCCTTTATCGGTCTGGCTCTAGTATTTTGTCTCTTGCGTTTCCCTACATCTCCCTCAGTATGGTATGCTAATAGGGATTAGAAGTGAAGAAAAGTAGGGGTTTAAAGCATCCAGTTAAAATAGGCCGAGAGAAAGATGTGAGTGAGAATTTGTGTAAAGAAACAATAGATTCCAAGTGCTGACTAGTGGAATAATCTATGGAAAATATTTAAATCGGATAAGAAGATCACAAGAAGACAGTGTCTCTTGTGTTTTTCACATTGTGAGAACAGAACAAAAAGGAAATACTCAAAAACCCACACAAAAACCCACACTTGCCACAGAAGTTCTTGAGATATTAGTCACATTACAAATACCAGACATTTCAGTATTTAACAGTGACATGGTTAACGTGTGGTCACCATGAAATCCAGTTTTTATTTTATTTTTATATGAAATATTGCTGTATCCAATAGCAAACCACAAAGATCCATTAATCTGATGGACAAAATCAACATATTATCTTGTTAAAGAAGCCGTTTAATTCGGATATAATGTACATCTCAATAGGGAAGAAAATACTATCTTAACTTACATTTTGTGCCGATTTTAAAGGGGTCATGAACTGGCTTTTTAAATTTTATTATATTGTTGTCTGAGGTCAACGTATGACGTTCGCTTGGTTTTTACATTCAAAAACATCAAAATGAATAAGTAGTAGGCTATTTTCTACCCTAGTTTTGAGCCAAGCTTAAAAACGCTCGGTTTTTATGGGCGTCTTGCATTGAAGATTTGGAAGTAAACGCCCACTGCTGTGAGTGGATAACAGATTTGCATATTATAATGAGTTTCAACTCACCCGTCAGTGCGTGGGGAAACAGTTTTGCAGCGACTGTCTTCTTCCACAACCAGGCACTGCACAATATTTTGTATTGCTTGGTAGCTTGATCCGGTTTGTCATCACGAGGTAGGCCTATGTTATTTAGCTATGCGTGTAATGCGCGAATCGGTGGGCGGGGCTAAACCGGCCGTGTTGAAGTAGGCATTGATCATCTTCTACGGGGTTGGTGTTTTATCCTCTTTGACGTCATAGTTCCCCACTTTAAAAAACGAGTCGTTTGCTGAGCCTGGTGTCAATAAAAGCTTTTATTGGACTAAAAAGGACGTTTTCAGTTCTGAAACTTACAGCATATTCTTATACAGTATGATGACCTCTTAGATGTCAAAAGCTCAAGGAAAATTTGATTTCTCAGTTCATCACCCCTTTAAACAAAACTTTTCAAATCAATTTTTTTCAAATTAATACATGAAATTTACACAAGCGTGAACCTCTAGGGCTTTTTCTGTGCAAAAACTTAAAGTGAACTGTATTAGTATGTGAAAGCATGAGACCCCTACACCCGACTGCAGACACCAGAGTGCCACTTCTTAACTCTAAAACATTCAGACTATATATTATGTAATCAAATTGCAACCTTTCACTGTTTATCAATCGCAAAAGATCAAATCGCGCTTTCGATTTAATTCCATGAGATGTGAAGCCTTAATGGAAATGGAGTCAGACATCTGAAAGTCAAGAGCGACCGGTCTGGGGGCAAGTGTGTGCACTTACTGTTCTTGCCCAAGGCAAAAACAAAATAAAGGACTTTTGAAGTTCTCTGCGCTCTTGTCTCATGTACTCTGTGTAATCCTCAGCAGTATTGTGCTTCAGTGATGCAGTTTGAAATTGGTTTTTTAGAGAAGTGTCAGAGAGGATGGATCAAAAGACGTTGCTGCTTTGGTTTAGGATGTGGATTGCTGCATGCTACACTTCCCCTGTTAAGACTAATTGTGGCCAGGGAATGAAAAAATGATATAGACCATTTTGCGAGATGTAAACAACACTGGTCCAGAAGCACTTCCTGTTTCAGTTTTTTAACAGTACATAAACGTTGTAATAAAATACAACCAACAGAACATATGCAACTAAATCAAAAAGTTAAACACACATGTTTAAGATGTTTTTTGAAATAAAGAAACTATTTACAAACTGAAACAGGAAGTGCTTCTGGACAAGTGTTGTTTACATCTTGCAAAATGGTCTTTAGGGTTTTTTTTATAAATTAAAAAAAAAAACACATTAATGGTTCAATTGATTTATTCTGCAAGTGAACTGTGCAGTTTTCATGGCCATTCCTTTATTCTATACGTAAAAACGAGGAAATAAATGACTGAGTGCACCTGAATGAAATAGCAAAGAAAGTAAGACAGACTTTGTAATTGTTATACCTTGTACTAACCAGGCGTGCTGCAACAAGTAATTTATTTGTCACAATGTGTAGATTTTTCGCAACCAAAAAAGACAATATCAGCCAGAAGTCCGACATGCTCCTGGATTTTAAAAAAAAGAGCGTTTTCTCCTATGCTCACCGAGGCTACATTTATCAATAGTAAAATAAAAACAGTAATATTATTACAATTTAAAATAACTGCTTTCTATTAATATAATTGAAAATGTCATTTTATTCCTGTGATTGAACGCTGAATTTTCAGGAGCTATTTCTCCAGTCTTTAGTGACGCATGATTAATGATGATAATTGCTTAATCAAGTCTCTTTGATCTAAACTGCCAGTCTACAGACTTGTGTTGTGTTGGGATAGTAGTGTTGAAATGTGCTGGGTCACTGCTCTGGTCCCTTCAGCTGTCGTACGGTGTGATCAGCTGTGTCCGCATCCCCCGCGATCACATTCCTTTCCAAATAGAGGTGCAGAAACACGCAGAGCTCCACTGCCGAGACAGAAATAGGCACCTAGTGCACAATCACTGCCAGTGAGAGTGAAGGAGCGTCTGTTGACTTCAATAAATCTTTGCTACAACACCAGGATTTGAATCAATTGTGCTGCGATCAGTGAATGTGGAGCTGGTGCGCTGACAAATTGTTGAGGGCTGAGTTTGTATATGAATGGTGTCCAAACAGAATGGAGGTTAAATAAAGTCAAGTATTCAAATTTACATTTTAAATATAATGTTTCTTTATAAATGGTCATGTAACAGAGCCATTCTGCCAGTTTTACTCATTTAAACCACAAGCACCTCGAGAGTCTGCATGTGTCCTCTCCAGCCTACAGTAGGTAAAAAAAGAATAGCTCATTTTATCCCTTCGTGTGAAGTGGTGAGAAGCTGCAGTGCTCATTATTATAATATTTTTAGAATGAACACATTGGTCTCTGATGTGCTCTGTTTAGTCTAATGTGGCTATGTTAGCACTGGTGCTTGTCATGTTAATACACCCGGACACTCAAAATAGAGTGTCCTGACTGAGTGAGATGGTAAAAGTTGTGAGTGAGGCATGTGGAAAGGTGGCCTTAATAGTTTATCCTATCACCATCTCAAGGTCTTAACTTTTTCAGACCACGGACCCCTTGTTGGATTGGATACTGTTACACAATGTATCAAATTTAGTGTTGAATTTTAAGGGGATAGATCACCCCACAATAGAAATTCTGTCATCTTTTACCTATAGATAAGTGTGAAGGCTCGGGGTAGAGTGTTATTTTTAGGGTGTCTGAGAGGTTTTGACTGTGATTGGCAGCTTGTTGATGTGTGTTTTCCACAGCTGAGGCAGCCACCGGTCAAACGTTTGCGTCTGAGAGGGGACTGGTCAGACACTGGACCGCGTGCTCGGCCTGAGAGCGAGAGGGAGCGCGATGGTAAGATGAAAACACGCAGGCATGCCCTATCCATGTCACAAATTCTTAAGGCTGCGTTTACACTTGGCATTAACATGCGATCACCGTGATCCAAACAAGCAGATCTGATCATCAGCCAATCAGCACTTTTAGATTTGTTCACGTCTGTATCTGGAGAACTGATTGGATATCTGTTACCTGCACAAAATTTAAATTAGGTCTGTAATAGGCCTTTGTCATTGAGCATAAATCAATTTTCAATTTATTCACTTTTATCAATTTAGCAGTGCCCATATTGCACATGATTTTTGTGATTTGTTCATATACAATCAATCTCAAATAGGGTACTTAATCTACTAATCTACCAGTTTCCCAGTATTAACCTTGTATAATTAAAAAAAGAAAAATCTTATTCCGACGCATGTTATTCCATGATTGAAAGGAGAACAAATATCATAGTTAAAGGAGCTTTATGCAAGAAATTTATTTCAATTAATCATAAATTTTCCCTGATATGTTCGTTTCAAATACTTATATCACTGACAACAGTAGTCCGGCCAGGATATTGTCATTTAAAAAGTGAAGTCACAGCCCTTGACTGATGTTGATGTTGTCAAGTTGTGTTTTGTTCTGATGCGTCACCCTCCACTGATCTACCAATCACGGAGTCAGAAGTGTTGTGGCATTCGGGTTGCCAGCCGTTCTCTAGTTACCACAGCTGCAGATACAAACATGTTTTTAATCGGATTAAAAAATTCTAACTTTGCGAAACCCCAAAAAACTCGATATGAATCCGAAATACTTTGTTACAAAGTCTGAAATAAATAATTAACAGAATAAAACTCACTGTGTAGGACTCGTCACTTGCCATTGGAAGTTTCTTGTAGCTGCCTACATTCCTGCTGGAAGCTGCAGCATATCTGGCAACCTTGAGTCATGGGGGAAGTGGGGGATACACCCTAAATAAAGGGATTGCAAGTGAAAGTGATTGCAGTACCAGTTTTGGCCACAATCTTGCATACAGCTCCTTTAATCCAAATTAGTATTATTGTGTTATTATTATTTTATTTGTATATTTATTTTTTATATTATTAGTTTATTTATTTTTTTTTTTTTCAAAAAATCAGTTCAAATGTTAGCCTCAAAGCCATCTTTCATCTTGGCTTCGTAGATTATCTTTCGTTGTTGAAGAATGTATCAGAGTAGAAACTCTGCTATTCCTGATTTACCGCACAACTCATTTGCACATCCACTTCATCTCCAGCTGTCTCATCTATTAACAGAACTGTTATCCGCACTGGCCATCTCCTCCATTATTTGAACAATCTGAACCAGTGTCTCTCAATACATCTTTAATCTCTCTCAGTACCTCTGACTGAAGATCATCAACACCCAGCCCGTCTAAGGGGAGCTTGTTAGCTTTTCACAGGGTTTTAGTCCAAAGACTGCTTCACTGTAGTGTATTGCAGCGAGCTCTTGAAGCGAACAGCAGGCTTCCAGTACTTCTGCTTTCTGTAAGTGGAAAGATTTGAGGTTCTGATCTGGTTTGATATTGATTATGAAGAGATATGGCTGCCGTCGCATCATCCAGGTGGATGCTGCACATTGGTGGTGGTTGAGGAGATTCCCCCCGTTCTATGTGAAGCGCTTTGAGCGCTATACAAATGTAATGAATTGTTATTATATTGTTATTATGTTGTCTTTGCAGGAGAGCAGAGTCCAAATGTATCGCTCATGCAGAGGATGTCAGACATGTTGTCACGCTGGTTCGAAGAGGCCAGCGAGGCCCAGAGCAGCAGAGCACGTCCTCAAACCCGACCCAGAGGTATAACAGGTCAGGTCCACAATGCATTGAACTCTATGGAGACAATTTCAACTTTGATCTATTTGTTAATTAACATCATCAATTGAATGTTGCGTTGTCTCATGTGTCACAGGAAAGGGTGTGAAGTCTGTAATTAAATGTCCTCTACTTAAAAAGTTAAGCTTGAGGTTTAATGATTTGGCTTCAGGTGCAGCAGCTCGACCAGAAGGGACGTTTGCGCCCTCGGAGACGCACACTGAGACACAGGAGCCTGCTGTGGTGTCGGCTGAAAGACTGATGGAGGTGGAGACGCCTGCCACCGATGCTGCTCCTACTGCACCTGCAGAGCCTCTCCCCAAGTCCGTCTCCTCCTCTTCCTCCTCAGGCTCCTCCTGCACGGTGACAGCTCCTCCCCCATCTAGCTCCTCCTCCATGGAGAGCGGCGCATCCTCCTCTCTCCTCTCCTCCCCAGACAGAGAGCAGAAGAGCCAGGATGAGGTTACGCCCACTCCCTCGGCCACACCCACTCCTTTAGCCACACCCACCCCATCTAGAGAGGCAGCTTTATCTGGTAAGATGACTCAATTGACCATACAGTCACGTTTCCTTTAGATCGGATTTACATGTTATGAGACAACGAGCATGTTTACATGCACATCATTTGCCATTTAAATTACTTATACACTGTGCCATTGAAAAGTTTGGTGTCAGTAAGATTTTCTATTCAAAAGTGACATTAATGTCACAAAATATGTCTTTTTCAATTAAATGCTGTTCTTTTGACCTTTCTATCCATGGAACTACATGTAAAAAATGTATCATGGTTTCCACAAAAATAATAAAACAGAACAACGTATTAAAATAATTATCTGTGATCACAATAATTCTGTTTTACTGTATTTTTAGAGCCTTGGTGAGAATGAAACCTCTTTCAAAAACACTTAAATGTACAGGCCCCAAACTTTTAAACTAGTGCATATGATTTTATGTTCATTTCTTTTAATGTTTTGGGGAGGAAAAAATCACGAAGTAAAACACAACAAAGAACTTTCTAATCAAATTCATCTCATTCAGTTTTTTATAAACGGAAATGGAAATGGGTCCATTTTATCAGCTTTCAATCATCTTCCTTTTTAAGGCCTTTGTGTGTACCGATTTATTGTCCTTGGGTGGGGTTTCTTTCTTGAACATTGAGTGACGTTAGGGCCTGCATCAACAATCCCACAAATATAAGCAGGATGAAACATGTAGATGTCATTTGCCTTCTTTTATTTATGGAATGATAAATCCTTCCTATTCGCTCATGCTGTGCGTTTATTTTTATGTGTGAGTTTAAAGCACTTTTTTTTAGCGGCGGGTGATGAAACCCTGCAGTCATTTCTGTCATCACTCCGCATACAGCTTCAGTCATTAATGTGCACTTTTACCCATCATTCCTCCTTATCTATGATTTGCCTCTCTTCTTTCCCCCATTCCCATCAATTTTCCCATCCTGCCCTTCTCTCTCCGTCTGACCCCACATTGTCAGAATATGGTCCTCACCGGCTGCCGGTAAGTTTAGTGTGTAGACGTTTGCAGAGACTGCTTCTCTTGAACGACCCCCCTGGACAGGGCAGACGCACAATGCCTTCTATACCCGTGACCTCCAGCCCAGGGAGCTCAGCCCACCCGGCTCCTGCTGCTGCTGCTGCTGCTGCTTCTGACACAAGCCCTCCTGCAGGTTACCATCCCCTCATAGCCCGCATCCCCGCTCTCCTTTAACCTCCTGACCCCTCTGGCTGCCTGTCTCATGGCTGTCCTGATTTGCTGCTGCACCTCTGGCTATCAAGTGTGTTCCTCTTCCTCTGCCACTTTGATGCGCACACATCTAACTTCTGCTCATTCACACTTACATTCATCAACAGCAGAGCTCTGTTTCAAAACCTAGTGACATCTTAAAGCATCGCAGACGCAAACCCGATGCAAAAGCTGCCCCTTAGGTTTTGATTTGTTAGACGTTTTTTATTGTAATGTTACATAAATATAGTGTTCAAAAGTTTGGGTTTGGTTGGATATTTTTGGCTTAGCAAGGCTGCACAAATGTATTATTAATATTTTTTCAGGATTCGTCGATAGATAGATAGTTTAAATAAACAGCATGTATTTGAAATAGAAATCTTTTGTGACATAAATCTTTTTTTTTTTTTGACATCATTGCTGAATATTAGCAGCACTTGTGTGTAAAGTAGACAGTGAGGTAATTTACTAGATTTTGGCACAGAGATCAGATTAATTTATTTGGAATGCAATCACAAAAGTGTATGTATATATATATATATATATATATATATATATATATATATATATATTCTATATATATATATATATATATATATACTGTATATATATATATATAGAGAGAGAGAGAGAGAGAGGGAATGCATTGACGTCACTTTCCCGCCGGAACAACCCCCCTCAGCCTGACTGAGTGGCAAAAAATCTGCTGCGTGACTGGATTTAATAGGGGAAACCGAAAATGCGACTAAAATGAACAATTTTATCAATTTAAACTAAATGTTGGACTCAGTATAGGGTTCCTTAAAACTTACTATAGATCCAGTGATCCATGGATATTGACAAGCAGCCAGGAATCGTGTTGCCTGACATTTACGTTTGCCTGATTTCGACACCAGGGAAATAAAAGCAAAATAGACCTAAACATAAAGCAGATTTGCCTGTGAATGCTTTATAATCACTTATATCAGTGTTATATTCAGCCTATACAAATCATCATATCGTCCAGTTCTAAAACTTTATAGTTTTTTTTTTTTTTTTGGTCAGTGTTTATTAAAAAATATCCAATAATGCAGAATATGCAATGATAAGTATTTAATTGATGAGTTGTTAATATATATAACAATACAAAATATATGGGTATGGTTTTACACCTAAATTCAGCATATTGACACAAAATAATAACTGCAAATTCACCTTTCGCTGTCCAATTGTTTATGTGAATTGCAGCGATCCATTTGCTCCTCTTTCTATAGCAGTCTGTAAAATATACTTCCGATTTTTTGTCAAATCTAGTTGTACAGTCAATCGCAAAGCTCTTTCCCACTTTATATGTGTTGTGTTTGTTTTTCCCAGCATTCACACTGAAAACAAATACAGCCGCTCAGTCTTTTTGCCACTCACTGTGAGTAACTGCAGGCACTTCAGCCGACGGTGACGTCACGCGCATACCCTATATATATATATATATATATATATATATATATATATATACACACATATAGAGTTGATTGGTGCTATTTGGCTTTTTTTTCTCCTATTTAAACTTTCAACACTGATACACATTTATCTTGTTCTTTTCAAAGCTTCTCTTGTTCTTCTGCCTTTTGTAGAAAAATATGAAATGGTTAGAGCCAGAGGCAAACTGAACATATTTGTTTTCTTTGAAGCCAGGCACTTCAGGAATAGTTCATTTGATTTGATAGCCCTAGTGTATTTCGGAGCATAAAGTATTGCGCTATTAGCTTAACAACACCCTGACATCACATCATTCAAAAACCTATAACAAAAATGAATGACTTCTGGTTGCTTTGTCGCGGCAAGTCACTGTCAGTGTGAACGTAGGTCTGGCATCTGAATAAACCTTTCTGTCACTGTCACCCTCAACCACTGAACTACGGATTGGTGTATGACTTATTCTGCTTGGAAGTCAATAAGGCTGTGCATCAGTTTGTTCTTAATAAACTGCTCTTTTATTTGCTGACCTCCTGAATGTTTTTTTTCAGGAACAGCCTACCCAATCTTTAACCCTTGGCTTTGTGTCTTTAACTCAGAATGAAGCCTCTTAGACTCATCTTTACAGAGTTTGTGGCTTTTGAGTTTGCTGTGGGAAGGTTTTTTTATCCTACATGTGCTGCAGTGTTTCCTGCGGATTTAGGGCTGCACTTTTATGTTTGTACCGGCTGTTTTTGTTGTTTTAGTTTTTCAGTACGTCTTATTTTTGTTTCAGATTCTCCCTCATCTGTGGTAAACAAACAGCTCGGATCCATGAGTCTGGATGAGGAGCGGGGTGCGTCCTTTCCTCTTTTTCCTTCCCTTTTCCTGATTTTCTTTCACACCCTTGCGCCTGTGCTTCTGTGTTTGGAGCTGTCTTTGTCCTCAGTCATCTTAAGAAGACTCTTTCAGTGAACAGAGAAACTTCAGAAAGATACAGAGGCTTTCTGTGAAGCATCATCAGTTAACGGACATAGACGCTTAAACCAATAATTCTCAAAATTGTACCACTTTTTTCTCCCCTTCTTTGGGGCCAAGTTCATATAAACCTCATCTTTTAAATTATGTCTTGTAGACAGGCACACATCATTATTTTTTGTTTCTCATCCTCATGAGTTCACCCTGCTTGAGAATGTTGTGGGCTTGCAACATCAGAATTTATCTTAAAGGAGTCGCATCATGAGAATTTTGTGCTATCGAAACATTCTGGAAATTCCTGAATTCCAGAACTTCATTTCCAGTTCAAAATAGTATTTATTGAAACTAAGTTAGAAAAAAGGACAATTTCATATTAACAATATTAACAAATATCATTCAAAAGTTTGGAGTCGATCAGATTTTAAAAAATGTTTTTGAAAAGTCCCTTATGCTCAAAAAGGTTGCATTTATTTGATTTACATTACTGTAAAAACATTAATATTGTGAAATACTATTACAATTTAAAATAACTTTTTTCTGTTTGAATGCATTTTAAAACGTAATTATTTTCTGCATTATTACTCCAGTCTTCAGTGTCACATGATCCTTCAGAAATCATTTTAATAATTCTGATTTGGTGGTCAAGAAACATTTATTATTATTATTATTATTATTATTACCAATGTTGGAAATTTGGAAAGTTCAAAAGAACAGCATTTATTTGAAATAGAAATCTTTTGTAACATTATAAATGTATTTGCTGTCACTTTTGATCAATTTAATATAATCTTGCTGAATAAAAGTGTTCATTTCTTTTAAAAACACATATATACACACACAAACTTTTGAATGGTAGTGTACATGTCAACAACCCCCATGCAATGGTGCAGGCCTGTTGGTGAAATAATAATGAGGGACAAATAATGTGCATACTTTCGGTTTTAGCATTTTTTTTTTTCATGTTTTTCAATTATTATATTTTAAATGTTTGTTTATGGGCCATTTATAAATGAAAAAACTAAATTTAATAAATGATTTTTTTTTAAGTTTGATATGACTCCTTTAAAATGGTCTTGCTATTCTGCTTTGGGATATGGAATGTTTCCTAGGATCTGTGGAAATATTTCCTCTTTATGGCAGTCCTCTTTACTCCATACAGGTGTCTGCCTGCACATATTCCCCTTCAGAACAAGCTGTTCAAAGAAAGCTTGAACTCCTTTTATTACTTTCACTTTCTTTGTACTAAATCCCTTTGCATTGAGTTAACTGCTTGCAGTTGTTGAACTTTAACAAACTCTAATCTAATTCTTTAGAGCATGAAGTCTATGTATGCAGTTCACTTTCCCACCACATATATTGTTTATATGTGTACTAGACAATTCCCAGACAATTCCCTTTTTTTATTTAATTTTTTAGACAATTTTAGGCACTAGGGTTGCCACGATGCAAAGCAAATTGAAAGTGCTGTTGCAATCCTTTTTTTAAAAACAATAAACATTCATGTAAATATGAACAAATATAATTAATTATGACGAATGTAATGTTCCTAAGGTTTAGTTTTACATCCTTCATGTTTCCTCTGTCTTCTTTCCAGGAGGTGCAGGATCAGCAGGACATGTAATCGGTGATCAGAGTGCAAGTATCAGTGAAGCGTCCCGAGAGACTACAGAAACCGTGCCATCCACATCAGCGCCCTCACTTGGCACTAGCGTCCCTCCTCCAGGGCCTGGCCGGACGGGCACAGCAGAACCGGTCCTTAGCCTGCACTACAGCACTGAAGGCACCACCACTAGCACCATCAAACTGGACTTCACCGATGAGTGGTGAGTGGCCAGAGAATCAGCCTTGACCACTGCACACAAATCACTCACACAAGGCTCGCTGGCAAATGCCTAGTTTGCACATGGTAGCCGATGTATGATCTATGTCCGACCGCCATATCTCGAATAAAAAAAATAGTGTACTAAAAATAATGGCAAGATGTCTTTCTGTTGCCTTGATCAAACAGCAAAGAGACTGTGTGCAACTTGTGCGATCCGATTCACAAGCAAAAAATTACTCAGAGGAACTGGTTCTTTTAATAAATCACTCATAAATGCTCACAAATTCATAATGTATTATTTTGAATCAATCTGATAAGTCCTTCACTGAGTCTGCAAGAGTGGTTACTGAGTCAACATGACACATCTACTGAAGCACAAGTCGTTAATTCATTCAGTTTATAACGACGCATTTTTTCTTTTCTTGCATTCTCGGAGAATTGAGTGTTTTTATTGTGAACTAAAATTAAAACTAATAAAAACAGTTTTTGTTGAAGCTGAAATAAATAAAACAGAAATAGTAGATTTTAGATAGATAGATATTAGAAAAAATTGTGAAATACTAAGTGAAATAAAATAGGTTGAAAAACTAAAAAGAAAAATAAATTAGAATAAAATAAAATATAAACATTGTTATTGTTAATTTAAACTATTAAAGATGTTTTTTGTTAATTTAAACATATGTGAAATAAAATAAAAAAAAATTAAATAAAAACAATGAAACTTAAAATTTGTATTAAAATTACTAAAACTGAAATAAATTAGATTAAAGATAAAAATAAATATAAAATAATAACTAATAGAAATTTCAAAATTATTACTACTAATTTCAAATTTCAAAATTATTACTACTAATAGAATATTACAAAAAAATACAAATCAAAAATATAGAAATCTAATTCAAAAAGTTAATTAATAAAATAGTTTATTATAATACCTGGACACTTAAAGGGATACTCCACTTTTTTTTGGAAATTGGCTCATTTTACCACTCCCCCAGAGTTAAACTGTTGAGTTTTACCATTTTCGAATCCTTTCAGCTGATTTTCTGATATATAGAAGAATATCAGTAACCAGACAGTTTCTGGTCTCGTTGACTACTACTATGGAAGTCAATGAGACCAGAAACTGTTTGGTTACTGATATTCTTCTAAATATCAGAAAATCGACTGAATACATTCAAAAACGATAAAACCCAACTTTTTTAACTCTGGGGGAGTGGTAAAATCAGCCTATTCCCAAAAAAAGTGGAGTATCCCTTTAAGTTTTCTCGAGCCAGCCCGACATCAAATATATGCATATAAATTTCACAAAGACACATTCTTACGAATTGCAAATGTCTGTCTGAAATTATCCTTGGCTTCCTCCTTTTGTTTACTTTGAGTGTGTCATTTTTAAGAATAGCTTTTTGTAAGAAACCGATGACTAACTTTTGTCGGCATCTGTGTACAGGAGCAGCCCAGCGTCCAGTGCCAAGGGCGGCTGTGGAGGACACAAGCCTGTGGAGAGCCAGCCCATGGGACAAACCTCAGTGCAGAGTGAGTCAACAACAACCATATGCTCATTGCTACAGAAGATGTGTAGCTTATTTCTGTGGGTTATCTTAACTTTACTTAACCAGGGTCAATCCCACCCTCAGAGAAGCAACCCACACCCGATGGGGCGCAAACTGCTGACAGTGGCAATGAAAAGCCCTCCATCAGCTCTGAAAACAACACACCACCAGCGGCACCACTAGAGGGGCTGTCTACTGAAGACACAGCTCATCCCAGCGCACCCCGTCCCTCGGAGGAGCTCCAGGCTGCTGGTTCGGAGGACTGCAGGAGGAGCGAGACCGCAGGAACGGGCGGTCAGGGTTCGACTCAACCCCCTCGAAATAATCAGGACTCTGATGACAGTGACGACGACCCGATCCTTATCCCTTCTGCCAGGTACAGAGGAGGTCAGGGACAGAGGTATGGACTCTCGTCATGTCAAGATGTATGATGATGCAAATCCTCACGATGTGTAGGCAAATGTAATGACAGACGGGAAGTCCCATAAAATATGAGCATGTTTGTGTTAAACGGTGTTTATCTTTTGGTAGTAAAATTCTACTCTTCTCATTAGATTTAATTTCAGAGGATCAGCTGTAGGTGATAGGATGATAAGGTACTGTGATGTTTCAAAGACAGCCACTAATATTATCTAATTGCAAGGAGTGCTGATTTGATTTACTTTTCATTAACTTGACATTTATATTGTGTGGCTGTGTATGTAAAATGTTATTCACTATATAATGTACAGTATGTGATGATGTCCTATTCCCTTTATGTCTGCCTGAGACTGTACAAAATGTGTGAGCAATGACCCTTTGGTTAGTTACTAACATAGAAAATTAATTTCATGCATGAATTTACAAGTTACCTTGGGTATAATTGTTTGGAGTTCAAAAACTGTATTCAGATTTCCACAAAAACTAGCAAAAAATTATACCAAGGCTTCATTTATTTGATCAAAAAACACTGATATTGTGAAAAATTATTCAAATTTAAAAGGACTGTTTTAGTTTATTTTAAAATGTAATTTATTCCTGCGATGGCAAAGCTGAATTTTCACCATCCATTACTCCAGTCTTCAGTGTCACATGATCCTTCAAAAATATATATTTTTTTATATGCTGAGTGAGTGGTTGCTCAAGAAACATTTCTTATTGTTGTAACTTAGCAGTTGTGCTCCAAGTTCATTGGTAGTGTATGTTTTTCACAGTTTCCATGCTTTCACGGCTCTACAAAAAAGTTGATTTAACTCCAAAAATGTTCTCTAAAAGGAGACATTAACCAAAATACAAAGTCACACTGTATAACAAACCAATTCATAATATTAAAGGAGTAGTTCACTTTTAAAAACACTTTTGCTGATAATTTACTCACCCCCATGTAATCCAAGATGTCCATGTCTTTCTTTCTTCAGTGGAAAAGAAATTAAGGTTTTTGATGAAAACATTCCAGCATTTTTCTCCATATAATGGACTTCACTGGTAACCAAACGGTTCAAGGTCTAAAAGACACTTTCAGTGCAAACTGTTCAAAGGGCTTTAAACAATTCCAGACGATGAATAAGGGTCTTATCAAGCGAAACGATCGCTCATTAAAAAAATAAATAAATAAAGTTTAAGTTTTATTAGCTCAAATGCTCACCTTGCTCTGTTCTGTGATGCACGTTCGTGACTCTACTGTTCGAACTTTATCAAAATAAACGAATCTTTTTCCGAGTCAATTCGTTCATTTTTGTTTGTTGAATGAACCAAATGACACGAAAAAAGATTTGTTTGTTTTGTTTGAACAGGAGAGTCACGAACACGCATCACAGAACAGAGTAAGGCGACCATTTGAGCTTATAAAACTAAAACTTTTTTTTTTTTTAAATGATTCGATCGTTTCGCTAGATAAGACCCTTATTCATCGTCTGTAATCGTTTAAAGCCCTTTGAAGCAGCTCTGAAAGTGTCTTTTGGACCTTGAACCGTTTGGTTCCCACTGAAGTGCATTATATGGAGAAAAATCCTGAAATGTTTTCATCAAAAACCTTAATTTCTTTTCGACTGAAGAAAGAATGACATGGACATCTTGGATGACATGGGGGTGAGTAAATTATCAGCAAAAGTTATTTGAAAGTGAAGTTACTACTGCTATTATTATTATTAGATCATGGAATGGGTGGATGATAAAACAGTCATATTTGAGCTACAGTATTTCTAGTGACCAGGACATAGAAAAAAACACTCGAGGACCGATCCAGCTCCACCCACAACACCCTAGCATTGTGTCGAGTTTTGCACGGTCATGCGACACTAATATTTTCGGCAGAAAATGTAGAAATCAATACAGATAAAATATTGTCTGTCTAGTTCAATGCTGTAAGATGTATCGAAACTGTTTAAGCTTGTGAAAATTTGACCATCCTGGACTAATATTGCATTGAGATGCTGAGTTGTAGTGTGTGTTTTAAAGTTTTTGTGCATTTCATGAGCGATATTCTGTGCTCCATTTTTATAGACGCTCTGCCGCGGCCCGCATCCAGGAGCTGTTCCGCAGGAGAAAAGAAAGACGTGAGATGGAGGAGAGTGAGACTCAGAACATCAGGAGACCCTCTGTCAAGATGATGTATAAGGGCCACCGCAACTCCAGGACCATGGTACGTTGACATTGTATTAGAGTCAACAAAAAGCAACTTGCTTTTACTTCATTTTTAGTTCTAGTACAATCAGGTTTTGTGATTCACTGACATTTGGCTTTATTGACCTGGTTGTGCATGTAGATTAAGGAGTCGTGTTTCTGGGGGAATAACTTTGTGATGAGCGGCTCGGATTGTGGCCACATCTTCATCTGGGACAGACACACAGGAGAGCACCTGATGCTGCTGGAGGCCGACAACCATGTGGTCAACTGCCTGCAGCCTCACCCCTTTGACCCCAGTGAGCAAAAAAACAACAACCTAAAAACGATAGATTGAGCAAGCAGTAAAGGCTTTGTATCTGATCATTTCTTTTTTTTTTTGTTTTTTTTTTTGCAGTTCTTGCTTCATCTGGAATTGACTATGACATTAAGCTGTGGTCGCCTTTAGAACAGTCACCGTCATTTAACAGAGTCCTTGCTGATGAGGTATGGACAATGTTTTCTGTTTGAATAAAGTTATGTTTTGATCCTTCAGATTTTAAAATGTGATGCAGTATCGTAGGCCTGCTGTTTGCTTTGAGAAGTAATTAAAATCCCCACTAGAGGGCACCAGAGCTCTAAGAGCCTGTGTTTGTCTAGGAACTGTATCTGATTTACAGCCAGGCAAATCTAGTAAATAGAGGCTTTTAAAGGCGGTTTTATTTGTATATATCTGCCAATGCCTGTAACTATAGGAGGAAAGTGACCGTTTATATAAATGTACATATGGATTTAATTCTGTTTCTGTATTGTAGGTGATTGCTCGTAATGAGTTAATGCTGGAAGAGACGAGAAACACCATCACCGTCCCTGCTTCCTTCATGCTCCGAATGCTGGCATCATTAAATCACATCAGAACAGGTGAACTTCTTCCAATTCCTTTTTGAATATCTTTTGATTTGATCTGACACATTCACATATATTCATGTAGCAGATTTGTAGTGAGGTCTAAAAGCCTTAAAGGATTCGTTCACTTTTAAAAACACTTTTTCTGATAATTTACTCACCCCCATGTCATCCAAGATGTCCAACTTTTTCTTTCTTCAGTCGAAAATAAATTAAGGTTTTTGATGAAAACATTCCAGGATTTTTCTCGTAAAATGCACTTCAATGGACTCCAACAGTTTCAAAGTCCAAATGACAGTTTCAGTGCAGCTTTAAACGCTACCAGACGATGAATTATTTGATCAAAAATACTCGTTCATCAAAATGAACAACGAGATGACTCGAAAAAAGATTCGTTCATTTTGATGAACGAGTTCGAACAGGAGAGTCACGAATGCGCATCACAAAACAGAGCAAGGCTTATAAAACTAAAACTTTTTTATTTATTTTGGAAATGGCCGATCATTTCGCTAGATTAGACCCTTATTCATCGTCTGGTAGTGCTTAAAGCCCTTTGAAGCTGTACTGAAACTGTCATTTGGACCTTGAACCGTTTGGTGCCCAATGAAAATCCTGGAAGGTTTTCATCAAAAACCTTAATTTCTTTTTGACTGAAGAAAGAAAGACATGGACATCTTGGATGGCATTAATTATTAGCAAAGTTTCTTTTAAAGGTGAACTAATCCTTTAAACCACATTGAAAATTCGGGGCGGAAAAAATAAATCTAAATATGTTAATGACCAAAAATTCGCAAGACATATTTGTGAGTCTGCACTATTTCTAGGTCTCTAATCAAAACATTTTTCAAATGTTTTTTTTTTAAAAAAAAGTAAAACAAAAACAAAAACAAACATAAAAATACATCAAAAATACAGTAACATTGTAAAATATTGTGACATTGTGAAATATTATTACAATTTAAAATAACTATTTCTATTTGAATTTATTTAAAAATGTCATTTATCCCTGTGAAAGCAAAGATTAATTTTTTAGCATTCAGCATTTTTTCTATCAATGTAAAAGTCTTTACTTACACTTTTGATCAATTTAATGCATCAAAAAATATTACTGACCTCACACTTTTGAATGGTATGCTATATTTTTCACATTGATCATGCGATTTCCAGCTTCCATTGAAGCCTAAGATGCTCTTTGAATCATTCTCAAGCTGGAAAACATAACCATCAACTTTTACACAAACCTGTGGAGTTCATGCAGCTTGAGTTCTGCTGTCATTAAAGCAAAAGCACTCCAAATACTAAGACTTTTGGACTAATTATCTTTTAAAATAAGTCTTATTTATCAATGATTTTTTATACTAGTGGATACTTGTTCTACCATTTTATTTTACCACCTTGAACGGGTGTCTAACTGACTGATCTCTCTTCCTCAGACCGTGTGGAGGGTGACCGTTCAGAAGGATCTGGACAGGAGAACGAGGATGAACAGTAGCCCTCCTGCTAAAAGTGAATGGTTTTTTGCTACAGTGCACTTGAGCATTTGAGATTTGTACAAGTTACAAAATAGAGTATTTCCTTATTAGTTCAGTTTTTGGCATTGTTATTTTTTAATGAGACTTTTCTAACTAATTACTCTATATGAGAGTAAACTGCGTCTGGGGAGTTCATGCAAATAAGATATGTAAGAAATCAAAAGACGGGACTAGACGGCTGGTGCTTGAGAGTATTTAAGTGCAATATTAATTTGTTAAATCAAATGGTTGAGCTTTGAACGGTGTTAAGTGTGAAATCTTATTGTAGCCTCAAATGAAGAACTCAGATGTTTGTATACCACGAATTATGCATGTCAAACATGAGTTTGCTGAAAACATGTTCTCTTAGTCTCTAACAATGTTGTGTATAAAAATGGCTCTTTTTTTGTCATTACTAAATCTTGACATCTTCTGCCTAACCCCAATTACAGGTACTTCTTGCAATATTTCATTATCCAAAACAGGCACTATACATTGTTACACTGAGGGATGTTTATGAAAATTTATTAAAATGAGAACCATTTTTAACTCGGTCTATGCAACCCACTTGTTTGGCCAAATGGTTCTAGCATTAGTTAGCAGGTCGTGTTTCTCTCTCCTAACAGCACAGATGGCCTTTTGTTGTGGCAGCTGTTGGCTTGAGCATTCTGCTAAGTGACTAGCGATCATTGGGAGGAGCAAAGATGAAAAATCCTGCGTACCTTTCTATGCTAACCTCATTCAGCACTGTTAAGGAATGCAAGCCATCTTTTTAAATGTTTACCTACAGATTTTCAGATTAAGTTCAATGTATCAAATCAAACAATGGAACAGAGGATAGTTTAAATATGAAGTATTATGATTGTGAACAAAACATGACTGAAAACTTCATAAAAGTTATTATTAAATTAAATTGTTATTAAATTCTAATAACACAGTACCACCACTGAAATCAAATCTTATTTTTGGTATATGCAGTTGTGGTCAGATTTATTGGTAAAATATGATCAAAGATGGCTATACAGATACATTTGTATTATAAAAAAAATATCAAAAATCTAACCTTTCATTGAAGTAAAATAAATGGAAGTGGGGGAAATCACATTATGAAAAACACAGCTACAAATATTGGCACCCCTACAGAATATCTCTGAAGTATATTCAAATTTATATATACTTTTTTTTTTTTTTTTTTAGAACACCAGGGTGACAAGGAGCATGAAATTGTCTAACTATGACTTGTTTCACAGGAGTATAAATATAAGGAAACACAAAGGCCAAATTTCCTTAATCATCCATCACACTGAGTAAAACTAAAGCCTGTAGTTCTGATGTGTGATGTGATTGAGCTTAACAAAATAGAAAGTAGCTTTAAGAAAATAGCTAAAGCATTGAAAATTCCCATTTCCACCATCAGGGTAATAATTAAGAAGTTCCATACGAACTTTTACGAATCTGCTTGGAAGAGTATGTGTGTATTTTCTTCATGCACAGCGAAGTGTAAAGTTTGAGTGGCCAAAGACTCTCCAAGGACCACAGATGGAGACTAGCAGAGATTAAAGGGATAGTTCACCCAAAAAATTAAAATTCTGTCAGTAATTACTCACCCTCATGTTGTTCCAACCCTGTAAGACTATAGTTCATCTTCGGACCACGAATTAAGATATTTTTTATTAAGTCTGAGAGCTGGATCACATGAAAACTCGAGGCCAACAGAGAAGGAAATGAATAGTTGAATAAATTTGTTATTTTTGTTTTTTTCACACAAAAATTATTCTCGTCGTTTGATAAACTTAAGATTGAGCCACTGTAGTCACTTGGACTATTTTAAAGATGTCTTTAATAACTTTTGTGCCGGCTAGTTTCGATCCCTTAAGAAGCCTATGGAGGAGTGATCCAGAGCTCAGATTTAATCAAAAAATGTCTTCATTTGTGTTCTGAAGATGAACGGAAGTCTTTGAGGGTTGGAACAACATGAGGGTGAGTAATTACTGATTTTTTTTTTTTCATTTTTGGGAACAAACATTTAAGTCTTAGTCAGAAAGCCTTTAAAAAATCAAATAACTCCTACATCACCACATGTTGTTTTGGAGGAGAAAGAAAAAATACTTCACTCTATAAACAAACTCCAGCATATTCAGTTGTCAGACTCGGGACTGGATTCTATGGTCAGATGAAACTAAAAGAAGAGCTTGTTGGAAGCAAACCTACCAGATAGGTTTGGTGCAAACAGGGATAAAAAGTACCCCATGTCCACTGTTAAATATATACCACTGGATCTTTAATGTTGTTGGCCTATTTTCTCTTTTTTTTCTGGAGGTCCTGGACTTCTTGTTTAGATGCATGGTATTATGGATTCTATCAAATACCAACAGATTAAAAAAAAAAAAATCTACGCCTGTCGCCTTCTGCTAGAAATCTTATAATGGGTCGTGGTTGGATCTTCCATTAGACAATAATCCAAAAAAAAAAAAACATAAAAATCAACACAATACTTCTGTCATGGTCATCCCAGTCCGTGACCTGAACTCTATAGAAAATGAGTGGGCTGAACTGAAGAAAAGCACCAACATGGATCTGGGAATCTGAAGAGATTTCTGTATGGAGGAATGATCTTGTCAGGTGTTCTCTAAACTTATCAGGCATTATAGGAGAAAACTCAGAGCTGTTATATTTACAAAAGGAGTTTGCAAAAAGCATTCAGTGAAAGGGTGACAATTATTGCCAACGTGTTTTGGAGAAAAGCATTTATTTCGTAATGTTATTTTACCCACACTATTAATTCCTTTACTTCAATGAAAGGTTAGATTGTCAAATGTTTTAAACAAAACATCATAAGGATAAACAGATTTATTTTGACAGCCATCTTTGATCATATTTACCAGGGGTGCAAATAATTCTGACCACAAATGTAAATGACTAGCACAATGCAAAAAAAGAAGATTCCACAGGAATGATTTATCCTTATTTCAAAACACATTTTCAGAGTATATACTAACCGAACAAGGCAGGAGTGAAAACACAAATGTGATCAGTCACTGATCAAGCGTAAAATCTTCAAGTGCAATTGTACCATTGACTTATGATGCTGTAGACAAAGCAACAATATTGCTCTTGCTTTCTCAAAACTTTACATTCAGCCAAAGCATTTTAATCAGATTTTCCACCAAAAACTATGGATAAAATAATATGCATTTTAAGAGATATTCCGCCATACATTATATGCCCAGTATCTTCCTGTTTTTCCAATGCTGGAAAAAAATACATTACCTTTCACTGTAAGGGCCTGAAAATAGGTTATTTTTCTTTGTCCACATCGATATAACCCCCAAGAGATTCGTTCTATTTTCTTTAAACCTTGTGCCACTAAAACAAATAATTGAATATATTAATAATGAACTTGAAAAGATGAGAAGACTTTCTCAAGGATATTCATTCTTACAAATAGTCAGTACATATAAAGAGTGGTTACAGTTTCCTTGTACGAAAAGAGTAAACATAATACATACCCAAAAGAGGCAAAATACCTGACAATATATGAGGGCTGTACATGATTTTACAATATCTTGTAAGTTACAAAAACATAACTTATTATGGTGAGTGACAGTGGGGCTTCTAGTACCTGATACCTTGCAGGTACAGCCATCATTCTAGGTCTTTGGTCTCACCAAGGCAAGTAGCAGCAGTTGCTTCTAAAATAATCAAGTATAAGTTTGTTACCTAGTATGTAAATTACACATAAACCACTGTATATCTGTAAACATTTGCCAATGTGTTTGTTGAATGTTCTGTACCTTTAAAAGCTAAAGATTACACAAGGTTCAGGTTGTTAAGTGGTTCACTGAGTGAAAGAACTACATGGAACTGTCACCTATTTTTTCCTCATGATCCTCATCCTCATCATCTTTAACTATTCCTTCATCGATGCTTTCCATCCTGAGTCTCTGTCCATCAAGGTAACGGGGAGCTCTCTGTGTGTTTCGTACTGTAAACAGACTTGTGGGAATTTGAGTCCATTCCCCAAAGAGTTGTAGTTTGGCATCATTCTCTATAGCCTTAGCCAGAGAGGACGCAAAGCTGTCCAAAGAGTTATGGATGTCTGCGGTCACTTGTTCTGTTGAGGGGTCACCTTGAGAAAAAGAAATGGAAGAAAACTAAAATATCTGACACTTTTAGGTCCTGCTTTGTTAATTAATATTTCTGTCAGTTTGTGAAAATAGCATTTTATACTAGTGTCTTTTCAAAGGAAGTTTCTTCTGCACACAAATTTGAGATGAAAGTTGTTTAATTCAAACTTTTCAGGCTAAACAGTTAAACCAAGTTTGCACAAACATTATATTGCAAGTCTACATTTTCATAAATGTATCCAGTAAAAACAACCTATTTTAATGGATTAACATGGACATTACAGTCCACACAGACTGGATATAACTTTGCAAAGTGCTTAATTGCATTAGTCTCAAGTAAATACATATAAAGTCTTATGACTATACTTTCTAAATGGCGTGTACGCAAGGACGCATTAATTGATCAAAACTCAGAAAATACTTTTGCATTGATATTGTATAAAAATAAGAAATATGTAAACACATATTTAAAATAAACTTTCCATTCGAATCCTGAAGAAATGTATCACTTTCCACAAAATTTCTAAAACAACCGTTTTCATCATTGGTAATGACAAGAAATGTTTCTTGAGACCAACATTAAACCAAAACCGACCCAATTCAGAATAAACCCAATTGTATTGGTGCTTTCTATGTGCTTGTTTTTTTTTTTACTGATGACAACTAAGAGACATTTTTGCATTAGTCAGACGTAAAATAACACCATGATAGATACCTTTAGAAATCTGATCCACTTGGTCCTCGAATGTGACAGAACTTCTTCTCTTATTGGCAACACAGAGGGCTGAGTGGGAGGGCTCTGAGGTGTAGCTGTCCAACAGCATGACGTCTGTAGCTAGCGGGTAAATCACAGCAGGCATCTTTCTATCAAATATCACTTTTAACACTGCTCACCACCACCCACCCACACCAGTCTGGACACTGTGGGAGAGCCGCTGAGCATCGCCGTCTGTCTGTTATGCGATTCTCATGGGCCCTGTGTTTCCTCATATGGCACACCCTGATAACAGTAGTATGCAGGCCAACAAACCACCTCTGCTGACTGCTCAGAGCTGTGGAGGTTGCTGCTGTTTGCTTTTCTAGTACTCAGAGAGGTAAGGATGCAGCGATATCAAAATTCTGACTGCTGATAAATGATGAAATTAATATTTTGTATGAAATTAATTAATATATTGTAACATAACCACTATAACAAGACAAAGGCAATCTAGAAGTAAAAATGAATACATAAATTATTATACAAAATTGGCTGATTCTGACAAAATAAACAAAAACAATTCTCTAATATCGGACAATTGACATTTGAAGTGGATCAAAAGTTTCATCAAGTCACCAAAAAAGTAGATCAAGAACGGGTATTGTTCAAAATTCATGTATAACTTCGATGAAAGGTTTTGATCCACTTCAAATGTTGATTACTGT